AAACGCCGAACATCTTTTGGTCAAGGATGTATCACAAAATTTTGTACGGCATGCCACAGGCTACAAAGCAGCAGGAATGGTGGGGCAAAACTGTGTGAAGGGCCTCTTACTCTTGGTCGTTGTCTTGTTCGCTGAAGTGGGCAATTTGATTGTAAACGTTTCATCACCAGTTGAGGTGACATCATCAGTGCGTTATTGGGGAGCGTAGTGGTGCGTAGCGGTGGGTCAGTGGTTGTGCTTCTTACTCCTAGTAGATTAAAGCCAGATAGACGTCCACACATACTCCCCTATGCAAATGGTAGACTGGTCACAGTTGTGTAAGACACGGAATCGAGTTGTCCTATTTTCACTGGCTTGTTTGTGATAACATAGGCACAAAATATTTTGTTCGTGGGCTGTCGAAGAATTTTCGGCAACCTTATGAGTAGTGCACTACGAATAAACATGTATCACGATATCTCGAATATCGTAGCAGATGAAACATTAGGTGGCCTGGTGCAGCACATTCAGTTGCCTGGAAACATCACAAACGCGAGATGCCGCTGGGGTCTAGGTGGGTCTCTCGCAAAACCTAATATGTTCGCAAGTGAGTGTACTTCGTTAATTTTGTTCTTCACTTTTCGACGACATCTAAAAGCAACAGGTACGACAGATACGAGTTTGTGAGAAAGCAGCCTTACACTAAACACCATAATGTTTTCCCGCTAGAGGGAAGGAAAGCTTCACTGAGCACAAGGAAGGAGCGGCGCATTACTGGATATCTATCTATTGCAAACCAAAAAAGAACATTAATGCAGCTATTTAGGATATTTTAGATGATTGACTGCTGAATGTCTGACCAGCAAACTGTCAAAGGAAAAACAAATCGTAAAACACAACCGCATGCACTTGATATATCATGGACTATCTGAACAAAGCAACACAAACCTGGTACGGCAAACTTCCAACTATTCCGACTATTCAGCAGGCGTCACAGTGAGTGAACACACAGTGACAGAGTGCAAATCAGCGGCCACAGAAGTTTTCTACCGAAATTCCCCTCATAATGCTGTAGACACAAGGAATTCTTTTTGCTCCTTGATTAACAGAAACTTTCTTCATTTATTCTCCAGCAACGGACGATCGGGTGACTGTCAGTGTGTCTGGTTTGGACGATTCGGGTAATCTGGTCGGAAAGGTGGGCGAGGACGCTTCACTGACTTGCAACGCAGTGGGTAAGTCCAAGTGTACACCATGTTGGCTTGAGGTTCACCTCCAAATCTCCAGGCAGAACCATTCTGGAAACACGCAATTCTTCGTTTTTAAGCATTGGAAGAGTCTCAATGATTCAGTTTGACATTCTATTCTGCAATTAAAGCAATATGTGCTCAGTACCCGAGATGCACACGGCTGATCACTCTGATCAAGGATAAAACAGATAAGCAGCGCACCTCGACTTTTCAGCACAGGTTGATTTCATTTGCGGCATAAAGTCTTGACTTGGTTCATAGTCGCTTGAGCCTCTCCACCCTTCACGTAGTGGGCAATCAGTTGTGGCATACAAATGTATCACAAAAACAGCATGGAATGCTACAACTCGCAAAATCCGGTTTGTGCTTTATAGGGTCAAGTTGAAACCAGACGGGGACATTTGAACATGGTTCATGAGTGGGGAAATAGGTAACCGAACATAACCCCTTTATTTGGTCTTACCATAAAACTTATCCCGAGGTGAATCATGAGCAAACAAGCAATCACGTAATGCTGACGACCTAACTTTCCTCAGAATAGCATCTCGAAATCTGATTTGCAGTCGAGACCAGCCGGATATAAGTTCAGCGCGCCGAATGCTAAGCTGCAATCACACGTACTGGCATTGTACCTAGGTTAGTGTCGGGAGAATTTTGGACCTAACGTGGCTAGTGCACGCCATACCAATGGCCTCGCCGCCCAACCCCCCTATCCTTATGGGCTGGGATATACGTTATTCACGCTCGCCCTAGCACATTGAAAAAAACCGGATCACTTGATAAGCTAGTCGAAATGGGGCTTGTACTGAAGCGAAAGTAAGTTAATGGGCTGACTCATCCGGGCCCGTATCTCGTGTACTGTGCAACTCCTGCGTATGATAGAGTATTCACGCAAGTAGCTTATCAGGCACAACTTTTACACTGGGTATTTCTATTGGACCGAACAAACTATTCATAAGTTTGCTGAAATTCTTTCTAAAGCCTACGACCGGTTTCGCCCACTTCAGGTTAGAACGTTCAAGAATTTTCACCGGCCTCACAAGTAATGTTATGCCAGGAAAAAATTTTGTAACTCAAAAATGGGACACATCCAGCTTGTAGAACAAGTGATGCAGCTGAATCTGTCATCATCATTCACACTACTTATATTGTTCGGGGCTTTGTTGATAACTACACGGAGTTTCTATTCAGAGGCCTTGCTATAGCGAACCGTCTAGCCAGAAAACAGTTTTGCCAACATTCCCTTTTTTCGAAATTCTCAATGTTGAGCTGCAGAGTTTCTGATAAGAAGGTTACGCTAAAAGTTCAGTGCGATGTGAAGTGGAACTAAACAATCTTCTACCGCACAGCAGTCTTGAATGAAGGACAATCAACTAGCTGAGTTAACCGGCTTACCCATGTTTTCAGGAATTTACGAGCCATATATACATTGCTTTGGGTATCATAAATCAGACGTTCAGAATCGCCGTGTTGCCCTTGGAAGAGGCGGGCTTTTTTTCGAAAGAGGAGTAGATAAACGTCATTTCCGAAAGATAAAATTATCATCATGAGCCCTTTGGAACGACGATGGTGGACTCTTCAAAAACAGGAATTCGTTTAGAAATCCGGTGGTGAAGGCTGCGTGCAAACTACTCTGTTAGTTGGGCTCTCTTTCGGAGAGATGTTGCATTGCATCATTTTGGTGTTTTTAGTGGCCAGATTCGACTTGTACGCACCATCCGATTAGACTGTGGATCAGACCCTGCAAAATATGAAATGTGCTCACACTACCTAAATGCTGGTTTTAGTTTGTCTTGAATCGCATTTATCAGCAATCTGATTGTACGGATGTCAAGATAATTATTCCTAACTTTTGAAGCTATCCTCAGGAGGGTTTGTTGACTAACAATTCGTGGATTCGTGCGCAATGTTCACTCACCTTCCTCTGAATTTACTTCATATTTTAGGGACGTTCCGGAATATTTGTATCACCTAGTTGATTGCCTCTATAAGGACTTCATATGTCCAAGCACGTTTATTACTGGTTTCACAATAACGTGTATCATCTTTTGTGTGGAACCATGCAGGTTATGTCGCTCGCTCTGATGACTACTTACTGTCATTTTGCACATCTCTGTTTAGTCAAAGAAGGCGTTACAGCAACGGTGCTCTCATACGGTTGGAAATTTGAGGATGAAAATGGAAAACCCATTACCACCTCTTACTTGGCGGAAACGGTCACCGAGTCTCCCAGCACCGGTACGCTGGAGCTGAAAAACCTGAAACCTTCGCAAACTGGTTTGACTGAGAAAATGAAAGGTCGTTGTGTTGTTGAGACTGCAGTTACAACCAGAAAGATTAGCGACGGGGATCGCGAGACAAAGTCGAAGGAGAAAGTAGTTTTCAGTTCCAAATTCTTTGGAGTTTCAGTCACCGAAGATGGAACACCGGTGATTAAACCCGGTGGTGAGGATGGTAAGAGTTTTCTTCCTCAAATTCTAAGGATACTTCCAACAATCTGTTGAAAAAATACTCATGTTATGAGCGTACTTGAACCTGTTACTGACCGATTCTCCGTGAATTGTTAAATCTCACAATCTCCCAATGTTTACATATTTCTTTCCATGTAGCTCAAGGAAGCGGCATTTTTGTGGAAGTAGAAGGTTTAGCGCAAGATGGCAGTTTGCGGGCGGAAACTGGCGATAAAGCACAACTACAATGTGTTGCCAAATGTAAGTTGTCGAATGTTCCTCACATAAGAACCCCTTATTTGTTATGAGTTTCAGTGACGCCTAATTTTTGTAGATTTGTCTTGCGTTGAGAATCGTTCGATTCCTCAAGCGGTTGAGTATTTCCGAATGGGGTACCGTATCGAACCAGATCAGGTGATTCAATTGTGGCATTAGTTAGATGTGGTTTCGACTCCCGTTTGACTGGAGTGCTCGGGTTTGTCTTCATCGTCAAGCTTTTTTCGGTCATTGGCGTGCACGTGTGAACTTCTTGCAGTTTTGCAACGTTTTTTCTCAATGTGGGCTCTTCCCTGACCTTTCTCGACCTTCAAGGTCACCGCAAATGTCCATGGTATTCATGGGTCAACAAAAACTGAGTTATCATGTTGGTTGCAAAGTTTTCATTGGTGCACAGTAATTCCGAAGTAATTTCGGCAGCCCACAGCCGGTTTAGCCTATTTCGGAGCTCATCAGTTAGGCGCAATCCTCGAGTATTCATCCACCTTATGCTCTACTCGAAACCGTAGTGAACGAACTTCGCGGATTACCTGTTTGTTTTCGTACAACTTACATCCAATTTGAACTCAACCTTTAAAATCGTTACAAATGCGGGACCCTGTTTGTCGACCCATCTTGAATCTTTTTTTAGTACACGATTTAGGCTGGGCTTTTCTTTACCAATAATCCTGGCTCACATGTTGCGTTCAGTCTGATCCACACGAATCTCCCGTTTATATCGATTTGATTTGTAAATGGGTGTTCTGCTGCACATACAAATTGTAGCTTTAAGCCCGACTCTTGTTGGCTTTTTTCCGTCTGTGTTACCATACCATAAATATACTAAACAGTGCTTCATGATATCACTGTGAGCCAATTCTGAAGTAAATTTCCGTCTTCGTTTTTAGATACGGCCACTGGAAACATCGTGCCTGATGTGAACTACGTCTGGGAAATTCGTGATCAGGTTGGAGTTCTAGTACCAATCGGCCGGGTGGCAGAACAGGTCATGCGAAGACAAAACACTCTGGAATTACGTCACCTCCGACCCACTGATAAGCTCCCTCTACAAGAACAGCTATTCGGACGATGTGTTATTTACCACTCAACAACTTTGCACATGTATACATCTCCTTACTTCCATCTGGACGTTCGTCGACCTGACTACAGTTCTCCGACAGGTCGTAAGTGGTCGGACGCTGCATTTCATTTGAATAAGTCTTTGCGCGCCTAAATTTTCTCCCTGAACTTTGAGCATACTAGATTATGAGGTTATAAGATCGCAGGCTCGAGCGGAGGGTCTACACATTCCACAGGCCTCGAATGAAGTGTCAGCCGACTGACCCAGAATGAGGACACTAAGGAAGTCTGTGAGATTGAGACTGTAGCTAATCCCTTTTCCACAGGTGTTGGAAAATTCCAGATAGGCCTCACCATGTTCATGTTATCCATGTTAGCATATTCATGTCATTTATTACATGCTTTGACCTACTGAATGTGTGTCACGTTAACATACGTGTATAGGCCACTGACAGCTTGGGTTGCACAGTCAAGACTGTCAACATGCACTACACACATCCAGAATAGATAAAATGCAACTGAATTCCACTAAATTTCTGCCCCTTAGCTGATGACCGCGTTGCAGTACATGTCAAGGGAATTACAGAAGGCGGAATTCTTGTTGCGGAAGAGGGCGAAACAGTTACTTTGGAATGTACAGCACTTGGTAAGTTATTCGCTTCTATCCAGTTATTCACGTACCACTAGTGTTGTGTCCAAACGAACATTAACTTCGACGTTCTACTGTTGTCTTAGTTGTAATTCATGAATGTAAAAGCCGGACAGCTGTGGAATCTGTTCTACGGATGTGCACCACATATTTTCGAACGATTAACTCAGAGTGAAACAAAGATTTTTTCATTGGGAATTGGTTTCCATCCGTTAACAGATAAGACCAGAGGAAGTAGCTCGAGTACCGCCAACAACTACCTACGAAAATCGCTACTAACGTAACTGATTGCAGAAGCGGAGCAAGGCCATAAACGAATCTCAGCAACTATTCTGCTGAGCTGACATCATCAGCGTGCAGTGGTGTGGTAGTATGTCGCAATTCAGTAGTGCATCAACTTGTAGGTGATGGTTGGTTGTACGCTTGTGTGTACATGGGTTGTCGACCGATGGTTGACCTTCGGTGGGTAGTCCCATCGGTCTGGTCGGTCTACGAATAATCCAGACGTTAGCCTTGCAAACCGAATGGCTAGCCCCATTCTACATAGCATATAGCCCCCTCTTTACCGTGCTTTCGAAAGACAGGAAATTACAACCACATTAGAGCCGTGGGATGAATCAAATTACAGTCTTTCCGTCGTTGAGTGTTTTCGTTACCGTCAGCGCACTTTTACACCCTTGCTCATCTGACGTACTTTCATTTCTTCATCCAAAGTTCACTACTACTGAGATCTATTCAGCATCTGATTTGTTGTTCAGATAAGGTCCATTTTAATCCGCATTCTCGATCATTAACACCAGCTTGCTTACGGTGTATGATGAAATTGACGGGACATTTCTGTTTATGACATAAAACTCAACATATATTTACCGTTATTCGAACTGTTCCGATAGAGGAGTGAAGCTGGGTTAAAGGGCGCTTTGAAGTGTCCGGCTGTGGTCAATTCGCTTCTGCTGATTACTGACGTAGATGAGTCCAGCAGCGAGAAACATGAAAAAACCTCAGTGAACAGGCGATCCCACGGCCTTAACTATTTTTGCATCTAGTTGCTGTGGTTGTATTGTTATGCATTTTCTGTGACCAAGCCCTTATTTATAGCCAAGCCAACAATCGACCTTGCAAGATCTTTTGTCCTCACCATCGACCCTTCTACGTCTGACCAATGAATCCTAGTTAGAATGAAAGGTCTTATGCGGATGGGTTCTGCTTAAAATGACCACTCTTCACAACGTTATTGCTACCTGAATCACACGGGTTTTGATCACGTGTTGATTTATTTGAAATGGAACTCAAAACATCAGTTAATACGGAGATTCCTTAACTATTCTCAAGGGCATGAAGTTTCGATGACTCTGTCTGGATTTCCGAACCGAATTTTCAGATCGCATATTGTGCGGTGCATTTTGTGAGTCCCATAGAACCATGGGGGGACATGTGATGGAGACCTCCCTGATAGCACAAGAACTTTTAGCCGATTTACCAACACACCTGGTTCTTCCCTGGATTAGCTCTTGTACCACCAAGGTCGACCTAACTTCATCCAAGCTGGTTCGAGAACTGGGGGAGACTAGCGCGTCGATTGACCAATGCGGTGGTTTGCTTACCAATCCTCATCACCAAAGTGGCTGAACATCAACCGCATACATGTGGGATCATGTATAATGGGTGCCACTTTCTCATCTGAAGGCAATTTCGCAGGCACATAGTTTATTTTGAGAGGCCTATGACCTGGGCTAGCAGTACGGAAACGCTGATGATCTTCAAGCTTCAGCAGATCGAGGCAAGGGCTAAGGTACTATCAGCAGCTTTGGAAGAGAATAATACGACAACTTTCTTCATAGTGTTTGGTCTTTGTGAAGGACGTCTGAACACGGAGACCGATCATTTAGCCGAGCAGAACGTGTTTCGAAACTACCAATAGAGAACGCTCCTCTATCTCATTGCCAACGAAAAAGAGCGACGCGCTGTCCTTCATTGGGGCTGATGGGTGGGCTTCTGCAAATAACCACTTTTCCAAGCTAGGACCAGCAAAAACCTTGAGACAACGGAACGGCGGTTGTGAAAACAATCCAAAAAACTCGCGAAAGAATCCCCCATGAACTTGAGTTGCAGACGGTCAATAGCCACGACAGCAGCTTTCCTTAGCACAACTACCGTCTCGTTATAAAACCACGAGTATATGATTTTGATGTCAGTATGCCCCATGAGCTCTACGTACTTATATGGTTCTGGACAATCGCATTATATTCTGTAGGTCAACAGCCGTCCGCGTTTATCTAGTCTTTAGTCACCGATACAAAACACCGGACTGTCTCCGAAATCCCCTGTATTTTTCAATGCATCGCTTTTTTCCGATGTAACTAGGCCTAGATTCGGTGACCGAAAACAACTTTTAACAATTGCATGGAAGCTTTTGCGAGCGGTCTTCGAAATCATTGGACTCACGCTCAGTTTGTTTTGTCCTGATAGGCTCACTCTGGTTAGAATGATCACATCGAATGGGTTTCCTTTCCTAGCGTCTGTTTTTCGCGATGTTCTGGAAAATTCGTTCTGACGGCATATACCTGAGGAACTAGTATTCCAAAATGGCGTCAAATTACATTTTTTGTGAAATTCCAGAGACGTACCATTTTTTTCAGTCTCAAGTTTTATTAAGTAGTTTGAGAAGTTTAACGAAAATATTCACTTGGCTGACTTGAACTGTCCACTTACTTTCAGAGGTAGTTTAGTTCATGCGGTAATTATGCTACGTTCAAGCACGGCATCCAGTTTGGTCAAATTGTCCAGAAAGCAGTAGCCGACAATTTACCCCGGTGTTCCATTGTTGTCAAATTTATCCCCTCTCGAATTCAGGCAAATGAAATTATTGTAAGACATCAGGTCTGAAACTGATGGTATGAAATGTAGTTAACGAGTTACACTCAGTCGCTCAGCAGTGTAGGGCAGAAAGCTACGGACTTGTTGGCTCCATCATCACACCCCAGCTGTTCCATTCTTTTCGTGTGTACCTTTCCAGACAAAAAAGAGAATCGTGTCCTCGATTCGAATGAAGCAATCTACCAGTTTCAGTTTGCTGAGTCAGTCCCAGATGGTGCAAAACTCTATGGTGGTCACGTGGCCGACCACATCGAACAGGACCTGCTAGCTGGAGGCGGGATTAAAATAACAATGACAGGAATCAGAAGCACTTGGGACGGAGCTCGGTGCGTGGTTGTCGTTCTTCCCAGTGAAGAGAGAATGCAAGACGCTGCTCATGAATACAGTTCGGGCTATTTCTACTCCGCTGTAAGAAAGCGTGGGGAACCTCCAGTTCAGCCCGGCGGAGTGAAAAAGGATGCTGACGGATTCACTCGCGGTACAGTGCTCGAATCTTTGTTTGATTTTCTTGTATTGCGTCCGATATTCGTCTTTCAGTAGGGATAATGACCGTGGTAAATAAGGTTTACACTCTGTAAAACTCGGTAACTTGTTTGTAAAAGCTAATTCCTCACTATCCTGTGTTATAACCCTTTTCCTTACGATGATGACCCGAGTTTATGTTGCGTTTGCGCCGGCCTCTGAAAAGTATTGATTTCATTCTGCTCGATACCCCTAAAATCGCAAACCACATTCTCAAACAGGTACCCTTTGTTTTCAAATGCATAAAATAGCGATAACTTTATCGCAGTCGAGTGAATCAACTTTCATCTTGTGACTGATTTGGTATGTCTCTAAACTATAGAATAATAAGGTGTTTCGTTGACGGAACACACTAAGCATGAGATATTTCATCTAGTTTGATCAGCAGGTGTTAACATGGCATCACCATAGCTCTCCTTGCTCAAGCTCGGCTACACTGAAGGATGATGATGCTCATCAGTAGTTGAAAATTTTGAGCGATGAATGATGATAGGCCAAAGGTTTATTGCCTTTGTATTGTGTGATCAAGATACGATTGGGGTGGATAAGGTCGCTGTAGCATGGCGAGTTCCAAACACTCAAAGAAGTAGTGTCTCGCAAGAGGGTTGAAAACCTTTCAACCACTGTTCACACAACAATAAACCTGTTGGGATACCAGATCACAAGTTTTTTGGCTCACTTGCTTTATGTTAATGTATTATAGCAGAACAAGCTTCTCTGAACTCATCTACTTCATAGTATATGATCCTCAGCAAATCGGATCTACTGGCGACGAGTGGTCGCGCACTGTTCCAACGACCTTGTTTAAAAATTCACTGCATGTTATTGACATCACACACTGAGGGGACTGGTAGACTTTTATCCAGTAAATTTACTTTATTGTCTTAGGCGGCTGAATATACCCATTGTAGTCATGAGAACGAAGGAGGTAGCGAACAAAGCTTGTTTTCTGTGATTGTTCATCTTGGCTAATACATCACAAATTTATATGGTAGCAGAAATCACGTGGAAAAGGTTAAGATCGGGGCTACACTTTAGAGAAATAGAAGTCAAAGGAAGGGGGTTGGGTGAGGGGTAGGTCAATGGGTCATGACGTCAATGTCAGACAGACTTGTGGGACCACGACTGGTACGATCCAAACTACTACCGATCGCAGAGGCGATAGGAATCCGACTGCTGGATCCACAACTTTGCATCCAAAAGAAACTTGTGCGACCTCTGAACTTGAACTGGCCTACGAAACATCTGGTCCCACAAGTCTGTCTGACATTGACGTCATGACCCATTGACCTACCCCTCACCCAACCCCCTTCCTTTGACTTCTATTTCTCTAAAGTGTAGCCCCGATCTTAACCTTTTCCACGTGATTTCTGCTACCATATAAATTTGTGATGTATTAGCCAAGATGAACAATCACAGAAAACAAGCTTTGTTCGCTACCTTCTTCGTTCTCATGACTACAATGGGTATATTCAGCCGCATATGAACCGATGCAGTCGGTCGCGACATTTCTGGAATGACCTATCATGACGTCTACACTAGGCGTCGTTTCTGTCCCAGAGGGCCTCTCCATAACCTATTCTCATAATAATTAGCACTCAACCTGTGACAATAAAGTCATGAGAACGAAGAAGGTAGCGAACAAAGCTTGTTTTCTGTGATTGTTCATCTTGGCTAATACATCACAAATTTATATGGTAGCAGAAATCACGTGGAAAAGGTTAAGATCGGGGCTACACGTTAGAGAAATAGAAGTCAAAGGAAGGGGTTGGGTGAGGGGTAGGTCAATGGGTCATGACGTCAATGTCAGACAGACTTGTGGGACCAGATGTTTCGTAGGCCAGTTCAAGTTCAGAGGTCGCACAAGTTTCTTTTGGATGCAAAGTTGTGGATCCAGCAGTCGGATTCCTATCGCCTCTGCGATCGATAGTAGTTTGGATCGTACCAGTCGTGGTCCCACAAGTCTGTCTGACATTGACGTCATGACCCATTGACCTACCCCTCACCCAACCCCTTCCTTTGACTTCTATTTCTCTAACGTGTAGCCCCGATCTTAACCTTTTCCACGTGATTTCTGCTACCATATAAATTTGTGATGTATTAGCCAAGATGAACAATCACAGAAAACAAGCTTTGTTCGCTACCTTCTTCGTTCTCATGACTTTATTGTCACAGGTTGAGTGCTAATTATTATGAGAATAGGTTATGGAGAGGCCCTCTGGGACAGAAACGACGCCTAGTGTAGACGTCATGATAGGTCATTCCAGAAATGTCGCGACCGACTGCATCGGTTCATATGCTTAGCGTTAAACATCTGTGCAGACCACGCAACTCGCCATTTTCTCAACGAGTTGAATTCACTGGAAGCTTCACTCCTCATGTGATATCATCAATTAGTCCACCCGCTGGGTGACTGAATACGATGATTGAAGATTTCGAACACATGCTCACTGCTAGTCGTCACTTGGGCAAGTTTTTCTCAACAATCTCTTGCCTTGTGTTCAGCTGATTTCATTAACTCATTTCTCCAAACATCCGACTTATTTAACGATTCTTGATGTTGTCTTTCATTGACACTGCTAGCGAAACAATAGAAGTAGCTTCACATTATCTTCCAGTGATGCAACATGCGAATGCACCTTCACCAGTAAGATCAAATTTTCCAATGAGGAAACTATCGTAGTTGAGATATTTATCTGCTTTTTTGTTACTTATCTCCAACTTAGATCCTTTGGTTTTGGTGAAAGTGGAAGGAGCACGTCCAAATCACACTATCGCTGCTACGGTCGGGGAGAGTTTGGAATTACGTGGATATGCAATCGGTACGTCTGCGCCTCTTGCAAACATCGTATTATATAGGTAGAGAAGAAATCGTCTTTTCGACTTTCACTAAAAACATTCGAACAACTAGACGAGCTTAAATAAGCAGTCAGAATGTCGTTTATTCTTCAGGCTCATTTGAAATCCCTTAACTACGGTGTTGCATACTACTGAGTTGACTGAATTCAGGGATGGGGGCAGACGAGCAGGATTTACAACAAAATCATTTGACAGGTTCTGGTTAAAATGAGCTGCTTATGAGTAAAATTGCTGTTATCTGTCTTTAGTACCATTTGTCTGGTTTACACCTCTGTATCTGGTCTGTTCCTTATCTGAACTGGGATTTCTGCCCAGAGCATGGTGTGTTCTCCGCATCCTTTTTCTTAGCTTATACCGATTGCTGTACGGTTCTCTCCGCAAGTGCTGCAAGGATGCTTAACTGCAGCAGTTCCTCATCGGTGCTCGCTTCTGTTTTGAGTACATTTGGCAACTTATAACAACACAAGTTATGGTGGCGGTTGGATGGTGATGGTTGTAGTGGCTGTAGTGTTGGTGCTGGTGCTGGTGATGATGGTAGGATGACAACGGAATTCGCAGTAATGCGCAAGATTCAGTTCCAAAAAACGTTGTGCTAGGCGTTAGCGTGTAATCATTCACTTTGTGGCCGATGTTTTTTTGTTAGTTTCGGATATGGTCGAATAGTTTTTCCTACGTTCAGCTGTGCGCCCAGAGAATGGGAACTTTAAAGTCTTGCAAATGTTTAACAGACTGATTTCGTTGCGCTTATTGTAGATGTTCCTACTGGAAAACCGATCGAAGGAATGCACTACTCTTGGGAGCTTCGAACTTTGGACAATCTCCCCTTGTCCAGTAACCAGCTGTCAGATAGTATGGCTACTGGTGTATCGTTTGGAGATGATGGACAATCATTGCGCATTAAGAGCTATCGCCCCACTGCAGAAGGTGTCAAAGTACGTCTGATCGCTACAGCATCGGACAAGTTGAAGGACCAGACAAAACATGGAAATAAGTACGCATCGCCTTTCTACACATTCGAAACGATTGAGTCCGATAAAATGATTCCACCGAAGCCGGCCAGAACCAAATACGGTGAGCATATTCTTCCTTTGCTTTTGCGCAGAACGCTAGACGATATGCTTGAATTACAATAGTCTTCTCCTAAGCCAGAACTCAGGAACTAAAGCGGAACTAGTCATAGAGATATGCAATCACGTTGGTTCAAGTTGCCCGTTATCGTAATTAGTTGGTTGAGATAGAGATCGGCGAAATTATTATTACCAGCATTAATCCAAGTGGTTTTGAAGCCTACGGCCCATAGTTTAAAACACGTGTGGTCTCATATGAACCGAGGGTTCACTCTTTACATCCCTTGGACATTTTGCTTCCCCATCCCTCACATAGATCCGGAACAGATGCAGGTTTTCGTGGAAGGATTGAACCCGGATGGAACGTTGTCTAGAATGGAGGGAGAAAGTGTCAATTTGTCTGCCAGAGTTCTGGGTAAGTCGTCGCGCAATGAGCATACAAAATGACAGTCTTCAAAACACTATCCATCCAAGCCGTAGTATATTTTATCGTGCCAGAATTCAGCGGTGTATGATAAGCAATAACATTGTGCGTTGCATAGAGAGAGGATACGGAAGGTCATAAAACCATGCTCAGTTGCTATTTGATCCTCTAGTATTCTTTAATTCAAATGATAGCAATAAGAAGCGGAATGTATGTGCATTCTTCTATGTATGTGCGGACTTCTTCCAATTGGAAAAATATGCTCTTGAAGAATTTGAACCCAGCCAATATAATAGTATCGAGGATTTAGGTGGGATCAGATCAATGAATGAATGGATATGAAAGTAATTTCCACTCAAGCGATTGCCCCCTTAATGAAAGGAGGGGGAGGTTGGATCTCAATAGCATATTGGCACTTACTCAGGAAGGTTTTCAAGAGTAAGCACACACATCGAGGGGATAATTGCCGAAATCTTTTCCATTGCGTTCTTTTCTAGGGTAAGTATCACCTGGAAACCGAAGGAAGTTTCCGAAACGGTTGATGAACTCCCCAAAAGATGATATATTAAATGGCAATAAAGTTATCATTGGCCACCACCGATTAGCCAGTCAAACAGCTGACATCACCATTAGAATACTCTTGTCAGAACAGGTGCCTTAACCTGCACCGAGCTAATGTTACATCATGTCGACCTACACGGGTTACTGTATGAATGTGGGGCCTGCTTGGTAGAGCCATCTTCATAAGACAGTTCGTCAATGCATCAGTCAGCAGTGATGGCGACACTACACAATTCTGAGGAAATGAGAAAGTACGACAGTGAAACTAATAAGGCATGCCCAGCATTGCTGACCGTGTGGTGTTGGTCAGATTCAAATATGGTGAGTACCAAGGGATAAACTGTCAATCAGATGTGAATAGCAGACTTGGATTCCAGCTAAAAAAAATCATGCAAAATTAAAATGCTATCCCGCAGAAAATCGTGAAGATGTTAAAAACCTTCCATACTCTGAGAAATTATTCTACCATCGCCGGAAGAGATTCCCTTAAGAGGAGGGAGTGCTGGGTTGATTAGATTTAGATGTTTATTTCAGCTTGCATTTCACTCCCTATTCTTCTCTTGATAACGCAGATGTTCTGATACGCCTAAACTGACTGGGTATGCAGAACATGGAATACCACGTTTCAGCTGAACAAAAAAGGACAACAGACAGCTGAAAAGCTTGGTTATCAACCCTCTGATCTCGGTTGAGATAGAAGGTTGCGTAGATCAGATAGTAATGGATGGAAATACGAGGGTTAGACATCAAGCTCAGAGATAGTACGCCTTGACGTGGAAGCATGCAAGATCCATAGACACCAACATTTAATAACTGGAATGGTTTCCCGTGAGCTTACTATAGTGATGCGGCGTGGATCTGGATCCTGAATCACCATATGGAATCACTATATTGAACACCATGTATTTTCCATAAGTTTTGCTACTTGAAATAGACGTAAGAGGAGACCAGTTAACAATAATCTGTCATGACGCTCCACACCGATGAACCTCCATGCAGGACTGGTCATGCCATTGTGCTTGTTTCCTACTTGTATGTTCAACCAACTGAGCGCCTCTTATCCAGTAAATCCCGGCTCACTTGGACCATTAGGTGAACAGGAGGGAGTGTTCTCACAATCGCCAGCGCACCCAAGTGCCAGCGATGGGGATGAGACCGGTTGCAACTCATAGTGTATGCGGAGGGGGGTTCAGTTATCCGCAGCGCTTGTGAGTGTCTGAAGCACACGCCCTATTGGTTGTCACATTTTTGGCGTCCTTGATCCGATCGTCTCATACCGTCAAAAACCCACACTCCGAATGCCGCACGGTTTTGGAGCTGTCAGCGCAGTTTTCCGGTCGTCCAACCGCCGGTGCGTTTCCTCAAGGTTGCGCACACACACATGCGTATAGCGTTGATCTGTGTGTAGGTGTGACTGGCATGTATGACCAGCATCCCACCCCTGTCGCTCAGCCGGACAACACCACGGTAGCTGAGTCAGCCAATCACAAGTGCACCGCAGCCAACGGGCTGAATCAAACAACGCATGTTGACAGATACACGTCCGCGAAAGCCAACGGAAGGATGGATAAGTTGCGTGGAGAGTTTAAAGCCACAAAGTACCGTAGTGAAATAAGATGGATAAAAAGATAGGAACATAGATTTTTGTGGGATTTCGGTGAAAGTGACGATAGTCAGCGATTCACGTTACACTGGAAGGAAACCGTGCGCTTAGATTGCAAGCAACCCGAGATTGTAGGAGTCAAACAATCCCCTGGACTGAGGTTTCAGGACTGACCGTCCATAGAACGTTTCGTAAAAAACATGACATGATTTGTTATTAGGCTCTTCCAGAATACATCAGATATGGTGCGTTAGCCTCAGTCGTTCAAAATAGCCAACATGGAAATTTTTAGAATGCAATCAGTCAGATTGTTGGGTCCTTTGACTAATTGGTGACAGGTCTTTTGTTACGTAAGCTAATAGATAGTGCGAAATGTGAGGAAACTTTTGGCCTTCAGGTTTCACTATATATGTCTCTGTATGCCTTCAGCCCATGAGTAAGTTGCTGCAGCACCACTAAACTTCAGACAGGAGTTAAAAATAAGGGATCGATGGTCTGCAATTCATCCCCGTCTGATCGTATGGTAAAGATTTGCGCTTAGGGGACCGACGCCTCTGAAAGTTGCTGTAGCGTTAAGGGACAGGCCTCTGTAGTGAGTGACACCAGGGTCACTGGCGGAACAGCCCAGGATAGGTCGCTACACCTGAGCCTGTTTTCAATCGATCCGGAGGACATAACTAGAGCTCTTGGGATTTTCGTTCGTTATTAAAACATAAACCAGTATGTGCACCATCTCTAGTCGAAATCACTTCAGAGGATATGAAGGAAACTGATTGATATAAGGCAAGATATGATGAACGACCAAAGTTCTTTCCTCCAAAGACGACCACTCACCTGATTGAGATGGGTCAACGGTGAATTCGAGGTCGCTCTTCGAAGTGACTTTTTTCTGCCTCCTGGTCCAGACAGAATTTCTCCACCACAACGCAGGACAACTATAAACCAGAATAACAGAGGCCAGCTTATTTTTGTTAACTGGTCGACTTCTACTGCACATAAAGGGTCACACCGAGGAAATGAGTAGCAGAATTTAAGAAGAATTTGGTCTCAGTTATATCAGTACGACAGACTATGTTTTGTCAGGGGAATGATGAAGTGTTTCCGTGACTCGGCTAATTCTGTTAGGTGGAAACTCGGACCTCTGTTCGGCTTTCAAAATGAAGGCAGAAATTTAACGGGACACTACCTATACCGACCTTGCCGGTGCTTGCCGTTTTTGTACGGCAGCATATCTAATATTACCATATCAGTCTACCTTGAACAGAATGGAAAGCGGATCGAAAATTTCGGTTACCAAAGGGTCAAGCAGAATTTAACAAGCTGAACGTCACGACTTTTCCCCAAACAGGTGCCAGTTGGAATGGGTGCGTGAAGTGACGTACCTGTTTTCGGACTCGTGTCACAACAAACCGCGTAGGTTAGACTCCATGAAAAATTGGTGGTATCACCGTAGATGTTTCTTAGGCTTATGTACAGCCAACTGAACACCCTCCACCCGGTGAAAACCCGATAGAATAAGACCAACGTGCTAGGTGAGAGGGGATTCTAAAACCATCAGCATACCTAACTGATGGTCCATACTTTTAAAATGACTTAGCGACAGTTGTTTGGAGCTCATAGTGTATACGCGAATGAGGCCTTTTATCCACACAATTGATGAGAAACTTAAATCGTTCGGACAGTGATCATTACAGAAAGTGGTTTTCACACCCACTGGGAGTATCTGGATGAGAAAGCCGTCGATTTACCGGACCAGTGAACAATATTGTATGCCAATCACCGTCAGATCGTTAAACCCCAAGCGTGCGACGCGACCAAGCGTATGACATTCGCTCAGATCCACCACGCACCTCCTGATTCCGCATTTTCCTGATAAACATCGGGCCTTTAATTGCCCCACTAATTGGCTAGATTCCAGGATACCAAAGCCCATTTTGGAAGCCGACAAACAAATCGAACGTAACTAGACTGAAGTGCGGTGAAGGATGAGTTAACATCTTTAAACCATCATGAAATTTCTAAATACTTAAGATTTAGAACAAAATATGGGATTTTAAAAACACTTTCATCTGTGACGTGGTAGAAGACCGTGCTCCGATGTTCAATAATGTAACCTCAGACAAAACAGAAAACGATTAAAAGGCCCATGTCTTATTGGAAAGTGGCATGATTAATAGTCACGTGATCTTGACTATTGGATCTCATGGTGTAAGCTTTTTTTTACTTTTGGTTAGACAAACAAACGGATGAAATCATCACGGATGACTTCGATCTGGGCTGGAGTGCTGGTACTGGCCCAGACGGAAGACCGATCCCACTAAATCAGCTAGCAGATTCTGTGACCATCGAAAATGGTGAGCTGACGTTGGATGGATTACACAAAACGCCACACAGATCTGGAGGACTTCGGGCGATGAGTACATTGCGACTGGGACCCGATCAGTTGCTTAACCCTGAGAAGTACCCTGATGGTGTAGCTACAGTCAATTCAGATGTGTTTGTCATCCACGTAAAGTCACCTGACGATATTCCCACAGATATACCGGATAAGAAAGAAGATCCCCCGTTTATCAACTGGATTCCTGGACCAGGTGAGTGTCGGCTGATTAGTCGAGTGTGACTGAATTTTACCTACCTGCTTCGTCTGTTTTCAGGGGCGAGATATCTTGACTGCCTTCCGGAAGGCGTGTAATAGATAACGAAAGTAGTCTTAAAAAATAGCAGAAGTTTCGCTGGGTTTCTTTTTTTAAATTTATTTTTCGGTAGTAAATATTCCTGCCTGAGAAGAACCTATGACTCAAGTGCACCGTTGCTCGACAGAACAGGAAATCCTTAATTTTATATCGTGTGATCAGATTAAAATAGCACAGTTTCTGAAGACTTGTTGTTTTCGCTTCTGTATATCGTATAACGCTTGCTTGCAGAGGCAAAGATTAGCCGGTAGTAAAAGATACAACTGGAAGTTAATTCGCCCTCAATATTATGTTTACAGTTACACAACATAACTACCTCTGATAAAATAAATAGTTAGCTATTTCAGAAGGGTTTGGTGAAAAATCGGTAGTTTTTAATCGGGCAACGTTTCGCTTCTGACATAAAAGCTTTGACTCTGCCTGATGGAGCTTTTGTGCCAAAAGTGACCAAATAAAAAACTACCCACTGTCTACCTAACCTTTCTGAAACGATGACTTCTCAATCGGTTCCAAACCTTTTCTAATTGATTGAAAACCACAGGTTAGATGGCTTGGCGGTAGCTCATATAAAACATGCCAAATGTTTACTTCGGGGTACAAATAAAATAAACGGGTTCCTACTGTTAAACTATACGTTTCCAAAGGGCATGTATGGTCGGTAGACTACCCTTATTTTTATTACGTCATCGACTTATTTGAATCTCCTTGGCACTTGCAACTGACGTGCGTTTCCATCCAATCCCTTGGATTTTCAAAGTGTAATCTTACCCAGACAGATATAGAGAAGTGACCCAAGTGGTTTTTAAACCCGGGTAACACATAACCACTCACCGTTCAAAAATTTCTGGTAACCATTATGCTTTAATATTAATTTGCGAAAGTACGCTGGACTTCAAGCTTGACAGTTTGTGGCTCAGCATTTGAAAGATCACTTCATAGGCTGCTACTTGTCAGTAGTTTGAAATGGACAGTGGTTCAAGGTGCAATCATGCAAAGAAACTAAAACAAAACAAGGCCCATTTCGACGAACACACTCATTTACATACCAATTTGGTTTTCACGAGAGACCAAATTAAATCTGCCGTTTATGATATTCTTCAACTAAATGTGCTGTGCAAAGGATGCCTCATGCTTCAGTCGGTACAATATTCGAGACGTTACAGTATATTTTCATCAAGGAAACTACTCGCAAAGTTGTTGTAAACTCTTCGACAATTTTCAGCCATCTTGCGAGTACTTTCCATTATGAAAACTAATGCCTAGTTTGAGGGAGAACATGTGTTACCATAGTCCGGTCCACTAATTTAGTGTGCGATTTTTTGGAAAATCTTTTCTTCGTTACGAGGTTTCCTGTTATAGTTCAACAGGAGGAAGGACTGCCCTTAAGCATTAAGCACTAACAGACCAGCAAGAAATGCCTGATTAATTGCACTTTCAACGAATTACAGCACAGTGCAAGCAGTAGCAGAAAAAATTATACATTTTTAGGCGGCCATAGGAGAACCCCTCATATTCCCGTGGGTGTTGCAATTCAAGAGCTGATGCGGAATGTAAAACCGGCAAACTTGAATTCTAGTTTTCTCTGCATCATACGCTTGCTTAACACACTTGTGTCGCGGTGGGTAAGATCGAAATTAGAGATCATCGATCGCTCTGGAAAAAGATCAAGTATATGCAGAACAACATATTCAGTGTTTTCGCAGTTTGCTGGAGAGCATGCTTGGTTCCTCTTCAACAGAACACGATGTATAAAAGCTGTTCCTATGCACGTGTCTCACCAGAGCAGCAACACTGACCTTATTTCGTTTCGGATGACTAATCTAACGACTTGTTTCAATTTTAGATCCAAAGGACGCAGTTATTGTGAAGGTTTCACACTTGGACGAACGCGGTTCTGTTCGCAGTAGACCTGGAGAACAAATCTCTCTAACTTGTGCAGCGTATGGTAAGTTAGAGTGGTTCTTCATGTCCCCATTGCCCAACATGAGGTGATCTAGTTTATTAAAACTGGTTGATCAAAACGCTCAGTCCATAAGGTCACTTTAAATGTATCGATCCCCCAACCAGTAGTAATAGAATTATTGAAGGCCTCGTCAGCACTGAGTTACTCAAGTCAAGGGACCTACATATATAATGATTTGTAAGAATTTGGAGAATGTAGTCAAATGGGTTATAAGAACACAAGTTATACAAAAGGTTTATTCGTGAGAAGTCTCCATCTCTCCCCACAGAACGGAGAGGATCTGGCAGTTTTCAATTTTCTTACCTTGTTACAACGGCAGTTCCTATTCCTATGAACCGAGAAGTCTGTCGAAGGAGACGGCTGTTTTCTGGTTTGAATCGAGGGTGTTGTAAAATTGCCCCAGTATTTGAGTGAGAATGCTTTACCCTCTCCGAGTACCATTTGGTCAGAAACAAAACAAGCATTATACGAATAGGGGATAGTTCCATCTCTGATCTTGACCTCAGCCCGCGTGCAGGGATGGTGAAGACGACCCCTTGACACTTGTCAATAACAAGCTAAGACAGACAATTAATTAAAAGTTCGAGATTTAACGCCATAACAAGGGGTGGTTTTACTGATAGCCTCCCAATAGAACTGTTGTACTTTCGCGAAAACGGTCACCGCCGCGTATCTTATTGTTAAAGCAACCGTAAGATGCGCGCACAGCCATTGTTGGTGCAAAACCAGGAAGCTGTCAGGAAACAGTAGAAGGGAAATTGTAGTGTGCAAAACGGATGCGCCCCTTCAAAGTAGGGTAGGAGCCTGTCGGTTATTTGTTCAGCGTGAAGAAAAACATAAGCTAGCTTACGATACTCAAATGTTCTTGAAACACTGACATGCATTTCATTTGCTGATCCCAGCTGTTTTTTTTTTTTTGCATAAACTTGAGGAAGAAGACTAGATTCGTTTGGTTTTGGCTTAGTTTCTGGCTGGGCCTGTATTTGAGCAATTCCTCGAATCAAGGAACAGTCTGAGTGCTCCCCAGGGAGCAATCTTGCCTCCGACCGCCATCTGTGGATGAACAATTAAATAGAATCCGAAATTCCCCAAATCACGTGATGATGGGTCCGATAACAGCAGATGCCTTAGGCAAATCGGGTGTCAGTATTTCACTCTGCAAACAAAATGGACCATCTGGTGGTTAAACTAACTTTTTTGCAACCCCCCCCCACTTAAACCAGAGTTCCAAATGGAATTAATTATTAATTCTGTGTAGCAGCCAAATGGTATCTTCGAGTGACGCGTAATACCAGGACCTCTGGAAAGGTAAAACAAAGTCAGAGCTGGGTTTCTGTACGGTACTATTAATGTAAGATATCTATTCACAAAATATACAAACCTCGACAGTAGAGACGCGTCCGCAACGAACGGTCCACTTAGACTATAAAAGCACGGACCAAATGAGCAAGCAAGCTCCCACGTGAGTCAGCCACACATGCGTCAGGTCGGCCACAAAATGGTTTGGTGACCTCAAGGTCAAATGAGCGAAGTGGTAGGGACGAACAAACGCCAGTTCATACACACGCACTAAACACAGAAGTGGAGCGGGGGTTAAAAATAGGGACAGAAGAAGCGTGGGTAATTTGAAATACCAAATTAATGGACGACACACTGTGCGTATTCTCTATTGGACAGCACCCAGAAAATTCTTCCCTCAAAAATAAAAGATTACAGGGGAATGTAATTTTTGCTTTCGTCATACCTAGCAGAGGAACTCATGTTTCTCCCAATGTGTCTTGCTGATCTGAAATCACCGGAGACGCGGTTGTAATAGATTAACTGAATAATTTACAGGCGATGTATGCTTTACAGGATTACCTAACTCTTCTGATTAGTGCGCAAATGAAATTACTAACTTGAATGAACATACTAGTGATATTCCGATCCACATGAATGAACCGGTTTGGAATAAGCATATTTCTGTGGTAACATCCCACAAAATTAACTAGAGGCATCGATCACTGGGCACAGTAGACATGGGATTTTTCCATCGAATGTACCTTGAGTTTGCTAAATTCTCGGATCGGTGAAAATGCAGTTGCAGATCACTTCGGTGTAAGTTCAGAAAAGACCAATCTGAGCAGGCGAACAGCCTTATACCAGACTGTAAAATCGCAATGCACCAATTAATTTGGAAAGTTGTTGTCATCTCAAACTATAAGTCCGAATTTTTTTATTCCTCGGTATTTCAAACAATGTAACTCAAAATTTTATCCAATTGCAGACGCTGTCACCTTGCAGAAAATCGTTCCAAGTTCCGAACTGACGCCCATATTCTCGTGGGAACTTCGAAATGGGTCCGGTGGTCAGTTGTTAGATTACGGCTACCTTGCCAGCGGCCGGGTCATCGTAACTCAACCAGGTGCCGTAGCTAGTGACGAGGATGTCAGTCGATTGACGTTGTACAACCTTCGCCAAATACAGGACGTGGATACGAATGCTGTGGGTCGTTGTGTTGTACGATTACGTCAACAAGTCTACCATTCTAACTACTTCCCAATCTACGTAGACAGCGGCAAGCGAATTGAGGAACGTACCACGCCTACGAGCTATTGGAGTAAGTTGTCTGATAAGCCTTAGGTAGCTGAATTTTTTACTTAATTGATGACATCGTGATGAAGGCCGTTGTAAACGAACATTGTGATGATCAGTTTGCATTTCAAAATGAGAGTTCGTTCGAACCGAAGGCGTTCCAAAATGTGTTAGCACAAAGGTCACTAGTCAAGTGAGAGCGACATTTCTGAGCAAAGAGGATTATAAAAATGAACAACAGAACGACCTGAAAACCCATTTTTTGTGGACACGACATCTAATTTTTTTACCCTAGAACTGTTTCACGTTTTATGGTTCACATAACTTCACTCATATGATTTCCAGAGTTCCAAACTTTATGGAACGCAACAATCGAGTTCATGCTGAACCATTTTTCGTTGACTCACTCTCAAACAGAGCTCTTGGCCGATAATCTACAGTGCGGAACCCTATTTGGGAACGTAAACCCGTAAGACGGGATGTGAATCATAGGCGTTGCTTTCATGGGATGGATATTTAATCCGCTCGAATGAATCTCTTTGAGTGTGCATTCGACACGCAACCAGAAGTTGTTGCCAATTGATGCGGTTCAAGTTAAGCACAGTACCAAATTTGTGTGGATGCCACTTCCAGGTGCAGAGTCTGTGGGTTATGGGGCGCTGCCGGACGAAGTTTCAATTAAAGACTTAGAAACTTCAAAGAGTCTGTCACTGCAGTTGCCGTGTGACCTAGTTGATTTTACTCGCTTCAGAGATTAGGGTGTGTAATTTTCTTTAAAAGCATACAAAAATTTTAGGCATAAAACCCTACTCATAAGGTTGCTGAAAATTCTTCGACAGCCCATGACCGGTTTCGCCTTTTTTGGGGCTCCTCAGGTAGGCGCATTCCCTGAGTTTCCGTCAACCGTGTTAACTGATATTCTGAAATCCCACGTGATTACGAACCTCCGAACGTTTCCATCATCAGGTTGAAAGCGTTTTCGCACGCACCCACATGAACACAAAGCAGGTCAACCCGGTAAATTCCAGTTTTGTTTCTATAAATAAATTGTTGCAACATTTTACTTTGAAGGTCAAGACGGTATGGTGGAGGTAATTGTGCACGGGTTGGACGACGACGGGAAGCATACTGTTAAAGAAAATTCTGATGTCACCCTGAACTGCGAAGCACGTGGTAAGTCATGGTTTCAGCTGTCAGTTGACTTTTTCTATAGCATAAGCAGGCTTCAGAAGTAGACTAATCTGTTGTTCTGACCATGAAAGGCACATGCTGTATTATTGCAGGATCATTTACGTAGTGATCTTTTGAGGTTATAATTATCTGTATGGATTCTGCTTTGACCTCACTGCTATGGTCTACAGGTTAGGGGGAGATAACCGAATTCGTCTGAGTCGGGTGTAAGTGCTACATCCACATGCATGAAAATCAACTTCCACTTGAACATAGCAATGTTATCTGGTCATTTCATCAGATGTCCCAAATAATCAACTATACTGTTGAAACAAACCTTTTCAAACAATGCCGCTGGTATTAACCTTAAATTCGTATTTCCGATGCTGTGTGCTTCGCTAATTTGGAACGAAGCGATAGGTTCGTTTATCTTTCACCCCAGATCCCATGCGATATCTTACAGCACATTTACGTTCAGTAAAGCCGCGATGGCGGCACCACCACCAATGCCTAATTTTAACTGTAAATCTGCGCTTTTGCCATGATCCTTATCCCTGGTGGCACTTGGTCTGGGAAAAGGACACATCTACCAAGGTTGTCTTGGCCACAGCAACACCCAAAAGAGTTGGCCACATAAAAGTATAAGTCGCTGTCGCTAGAAGAAAAGCGAACGATTTTACCCGATCAACAGTGGACTTACTCGCTCCATTTTTAAACCGTGATTGAAGTCTAACTAGGGTAATAAAATCCAGCTGCACTTTGGTTGCAGACATACGTAACCGAAATATTGATGTTGTGGGCTCTCTGCTCTTGTTCCCTATTCGGTATTTCGTCATTATGAAGACCTTTGGAAGCGAATCATTAACTTGACACATTTGGGTTGCTAGGTTCGTCTTGGCCACTTTCAACCTGGACTGCCAGTTAGTTGTCAAGACTGAAGTTGCCCACTGTAGTACCACTCTATTCGGTGGCTCTGTCACCTGCAATCCACAAGTGATAAGATGAGATTTCTTCTACGGTATGAAAGGCTGCGGAGCACTTTCGACTTCACCTATATAGCTATAAAGATGCCAGTACTGAACTACATTCTGTTGTCAGAAGTGACTGTCGGTTCCTCGAAGTGTTAATCAAACGTTCATTCAAATGAAAAATTAAGAGGACCAGTGAGCCTTAATAACAGCTTTGATTGTGACCTACGGGTACAAAACAGCTTTTCGCATACAGAATTGCAGCACACAACGGATGGACTTCTACCACGGTTTTTTGTCCATGTAGATGCATTTATTCACCACCGTTTTTAAGGTTCGCTAATACCTTTAAGTTGGTTTGAAAAAAATTGTTCCACGAAACCAATCTAATCCAAACCCACGTCTTATATCCTTGCAAATCCGGCCACCTTGGAAGTTGAGTAATAAAAGAAGAGAGGAAATTCATGCACACATCAGTCTACTGCATTCACTGATCGTCTTTTGAAGATAGGGCGGAGAGTGTGTCGCGCGGTTGGAACAATAAAGCTCATCCTTGAGTTGCGATATTTTTACCGCCTTTGCTGCACGGATTTTTCGGTTTCACTTGCGGATACCCATGATCTACTGCCATTTTGCTTTACTGGTTCTTTGATTCCTTTTCCAAGTAGCTAGGCATAATTTACTCTGTAAAGTGAACTCCTCGTATCCTGCTGGTCTTTGATGTTCACTTGCGTCAGATAAGGTTTAAGTACAATCAACGGTTGCTGTTTTACCGTACTGGCTGCCTACTTGGTGTTGTAACGTTTCACAATGCTAGTCAATGCTCCACACTATTCATGTAGAAAATGGAACAGGACAATTGCTGCGTGACGATAATGTCAGATACGGTTGGCAACTGGCCAACCCTGTCACAGAAGACTTGAAAACCCCAGCGGTAGAAAAAGGTCGCTTCTCTGGTCCGAAATTGGAGCTGACTCAAATCAGCATACCCGAGGCACAAGGTGACCGATTGATACTGTGGGGTTGGTGTGTGGTTGACGTTGTTCCAACGGATCCGGAACAGGAAGGAACTATCAAACATTATCGTTCCAAACCATTCCAACTAATTGTCGATTCGAAAGAACGTGATCCAGAAATGAAACCCCATGAAGTTCAAATACCTGATGGTAAGCACGCTTTTCTAGTCAGTCTAATGTACACCTATCATTCAAGTTTATACAGTTTTCGGTTGGTTGTCCCATTCTCTCAAGTGTTAGCTTGTGAGGTCATCGTTTTTCTGAAGAATTTGATATGCTAACCAGTGATGAGGGAGGTCAGATGTTTCTGAACACCATAAGTTGGCTATGAGTTCCGAGGGTGCAGTTTACACTACAAATTAGAGTACAGTGAGAGAGATCTCCCGAAAACCTCCAACTGAGGTCACCTTAAGTACATAGCAGACTCAAGTTCCCAAAGAAGCTCAGGGCACAACAATCTTATATTCAAGTACCAGGTGCGCAGTCAACTAACCATATTACAACTGTGCTGATCGGGAATCTCAAAGCATGATTTTCGTTTGCATGGCCCACATTTGTAGGGATCGATAAAAATAACGGCGAAAAATATTCTATCCTAGGATATCCAAAGAGCAACCAAATGTGATTTTTTTACCAAACGGAACATTTAAAGGGCTAACCATTTACAGCTAATCATTTACAGCAGCTATCCGCAGAACAGGCCGTACCTCAGACCACTTTTGCTCGGTTCCCTGAAGCGTAGTTCAAAGGTGAAATGCACCTTTCGAATATCTTCGGGCAGTCAATCCAGAGAAAAACATAGTATTTTAAAGCATATACAAGGAAACACAATTTGTCTGTTCTGTGAGCAGTCTATCTTGATGGGTGGTAACTGTCCCTTCAGAGACTGACCTCTTGTTAAAGTGCCTTTTAGAAATTTCCACTAAGAGACGAGTTGTATTTTTGGTGGAATTTTTCCCTAAGAAAGTATATCTCTGGTCATTGAACCAAATACAACAAGTGCTCTGATTCAAAAGATTGAGTTCTTTCTGAGAGGTGAATCAGAATTACGTGTTCATTCTAAGGGGGCAGCATAACTCAGGTTGAAATACTACGTAAAGTTGTTGCACTATTGCCTGATTATCGTCTCCAACTAAGAAAACACTGGGATTTCAAGTGCATTCCACCAGTCTTTTACTCTGGTAATGATTTATGCAAATGATATTTACTACATTGTTCGGAGGGTGATCGTTATCTTAAGAGCGTCAAAAATGAGGGCCACAAAATCACTTCACTGGTTTTGGCGATTGCTTATATTACAACAGCAATACTTATTTTCATTATTTGTAAGAGTTATCTTTCTCAAAAGAGACTACCTTCAACCCAAACTACTTGAGATGTTCCCCGAGGGAAGCATTTGATTGGTGGAAACAGAATCAAGATAACCTCGATGAGCATCTGAAGGCTACACCCTTTAGATACCACAAGAAGAACCATGGCCTTTCCAATGTAACTCCACACATGGATTATCAATAGTGCGAAAGTAACAAAATTAATTCCGAATAGTCTACTGAGCTAATAAAATTACTAGACCCATTTTTCTATCTGGATGCACTGGGTTCAAGTTGACTGACATCTACACGTTTCTTCTTTTCTCAGAGTTTTATATAAAAATCAGCGGAATAGAGGAGGATGGCATATTGAAGGCCACTGAAGGTAGTGATGTTTCATTGAGCTGCTTGGCAGTCGGTAAGTTTGCAAACATTCGTTGGATTCACCAAAAAGACTGGTCACGTGTGCTAAATTTAAATGAAACATGGATGAAAACAAATGTCGTAATGTGTGGACACAATATTAGGGTGGCTAAAGGATCTGCATTTTTTTCGAGAATAGGTCGTTGTCACTGCAGCGTCACGAAATACACTGGGTTTCTCCAAGACCCTCCATCTTGCCATGTTTTTACAAGGGAGTTATTACTTAAATTGCCGCACGTGACCAATCGATATCGACTGCTTGGCTCACAGTGTCATTATCCTTGAACAAAGTGGATCCCGGTTACTGTGCTACTATGGTTAGTGGTTATGGTGTTGTCATTATTCTGTTACAGTGACTATCCCCACACTCACGTGGGTATACTGGCTCAAGATATCTCGTAATGGAAGTTGTGTTCTGGGCTTCGGGCAACTCTACGCGTTTTCGAGGCTGCGTAACATAGACAGGGTACCTAAGCACTAACAGTAGGTGGATTTAGAAATCTACTGATTTTGCGAGTTCAATAAAAAACCATAATGAAACGCAGTTGCAAGGCCTGAAAACTTGCTGAGAGTGAATTTCGTTTTGATCGGAATTCATATTTTTACAACCGGCTTCAGCATATTTGTGCATGGCAATGGTCCACTCAACTTTCACCATAGAAAGACGCCGAAACACGCGCAATCTTAATCAAGCTCTGAACGATCCTCGCCATTAGGCTAAATTATCTGGTAGTGTGTGATCCGAGGTAACGATGAATGATCCGCCCCCTCTGTTTGTTGACCATCGGAGATTAGAGGTTGACAGGACGGAGGATTTTACAAGTAATAATAATGCTGCCCTCATTCTGGTGGGCAACTGAAAATCAGTGGACGTCAGTGCCAGCATTTCCTTTTGGGCTTTCTTGTTGCTCGAATAAGTTATCCATTGGCCTTTCACTTAGTGACTGTTTTTCGTGATTACAAGCACAAAATCTAACAACATCCATAAGTACCAGATGGTAGAATCATAAGGTTTTTGGTTGTGGGTGCGCCACACTGTAAAATATTGTTCATCCATATGGTCACCCAACTTCATTCAGGAAGTTATAAGTGTTACTATGACTTAGACCGACAATTCACTGAAAATATGTATGAAGCGTGAATCAAAGCAAGGAGTTACAGGCCTCTTCTGCAGCGTGTCTCAGTTTAATCGCAAGTAATATGGATCACAATATAATCTCTTTTTAGTAAAGTTAGTTGACACCGTCTACGAGTTGTTGTGGAGACCTGATTGGATTTTTAGCACGGTTTTGTTAGGCTCTCAATCTTCAGACACCAATTACGCGTTGTGACAAAAATGAATGTGTAAATTAATGCTATGATGCTATCTGCGCTGTAGAAACTAGCTCAGGAATGGTACACAAATCCGATCGGCTTGTTTATGGCTGGGAATGGCGTAATCTAGACGGCGGACTTGCAGACGCCAGCAGACTTGGTCGAAGCATAAAGTCACGTGACAACGAACTCTTGATCACATCGGTTAAACCCACCGACACAATCAAGGGTCGGTGTGTTGTGACGGACCGACAACCTTTTGGAGATACGACCGATGAAGAGAAATCAAAAATGGCTCCACGGAAGTACATGTCGGAATTTTTCTTTGTCAACTTTGATGCATCTGATCCGGAAAAAGAGAAGGTTGTAGACAAATTCAGACCAACAGATGGTGAGTTAACCTCTACGTTCTCGGGTCAAATTTACTTTTCTTTGATTCCCAAATAATTACCTCAATGTCAGGCGGATACCTTAGCCACATGTCGAGTAGATTGGATTCGGAGCATTTGAGAGAATAACACGATCGTACGAAACAAACCTAAGTAGGGTCACTCTGAAGTAAAACAACTTCTTTTCACAATGTATTTGGCATTCATAGAATACAAATTGATGACTGACCACACGGGCTTAGTCGTCCTTGAATGACCCGGTTAGCTGTATCACCGCTTGTGATATACTTGTCACAGTTCTGAGTAGATGTCTGATTATTGCTGACCAGCGCTACTGTTGTTGAGTTAGTAGACGGATCCTTATCGTACGTCAGCTGTCCGTCATTATGCCATTTAGTTCACAATAGACGGCGTAAGAAGTTACATCCATCGTTCGGATAAGAGATAATTTGTACACTGTTTTCTCTGTTCACTGGCGGATAACTTGTGATTTTATATGCAGCTTCTGATGATGCGGTAATTATCCGTGTGGATCCGAGTACTGATTCGAAGATCAACTTGGAAGCTGGCTCTACTATTACGCTGAAGATCTCCGCTGAAGGTAAGCGACAATTGTTTGCTCCAGGTAAAATTCGGTTTTTAACGGATCAGTAGAGGTGCATTGTACATACAATACTACAGTTTCCGTTCGTCTTATTCGCAAATCCTGATACTTTGCTGGAGTCAGATCTTGAACTACCTCTCCAAAAAAGAAGAATACGAGGCTGTAAGACTAGAGCGCGTTTTTCAACAACCTAGCTTTGAATGGTTATTAAGATCTAGAAGGTGGCTGACAACCCCACCTTGATGATCCGTACACAAGAATTTGTTGAAGTAAGTGTAGCTTCAGCGTGGGCAGCGCAACAGATAGGTAAACCGGTAAGGTAATACTCACTACAGAAATACGGTCTCTGCCGGTACTTCGTAAGGATTGACCGCGAATTCGGATTTTTCGGGATATTCAGAGGCGGCCCACCTAGAAGTTGTTCGGATATGACTAGGTCTGGGCGTTTCTTAGTGCGGTTTGTCCCTTCTGGATAGAATGCTCGAATGGACTCGCATAATGGGAGGAATCAATGAAATGCTAACACAAAATAAACTTCAATCAGCTGAATATACTTCCATTGTTCTTAGAACTGCAAGCATTTATCACTCTTTGTGATGTACCTTTTTGTGACTAATATTGTGCAGGAGGAACACGATTTTCAATTTTTCAGTTTTTAATGCGAATGGTCACACTTTGTTCCTTCATCAGAATCTTCTATTCACTGATATCTCAATAGACGATGCCCCATTTACTTCGTTTGTCAGACCCAATTGCTACTCCATTATTAGGGGAGACTTTTTGGCTTACCCAAGTGGATCATCTAATTTGTTGAAAATGCACATCAGAAAAAGGCAGCCAGACAACGCACATGCCCGGAACATTCTTTGCCTCATATTTTTCCATAAAGTTCTAGAAATTAACCCTATGTCATTCTGTGGTGGGCTTTCAACCGTAAGTTCTTGCTTAGTTGGAACTCTGAATCCTTAAGATCACGCATCCTTGTTTCGGCGTCTATGTATAGATTACAAATACTATAGATCATACGATTTATTTAGATTGTGTCCACTGTAGGCTCAACCTGACATACACGTTACCGGTGGCAAAATACGTTCATTGAATAAGAGTTCCAATTACCCAGTGATTGTAATACGTGAGAAGTGTTCGGTGGTTGGATCGGTAGCTCTGTATAAACTTGTCATCTCTTTTTATACAACAGATGATTTGCATTTGATCAGGTCATAGGTTCTTTATCCTTGGTCTCTCATTGCAAGTTTCCAAATAAGCCAGATTGATTGCCCTCTCTCGTATTTGGAACCAAGATGGTTTTATTAATTCTTCTGAAGCCTCGAGGGCATGCAGGCTGTAATCAATCAATCAAAAGGAACCACAAAATTCAATGACTATCACCCGTTCCTTCGAGAATTCATTCATTTCCTAGTATCCCCATCTGTTCGTCATCTGTTAGGAAACACAAGAAGAATGACCACAGATCAGCAACATTAAAGCACACCTTAACCCTAGTAATCATCATCATTATCATTGTCAGCTGTAAGAACCGTGTACTTGTCGTACAGTGGTTGTAGCTGCCACAGTTTCGTTTGCCGATGATTTGGGGAGGTTGGGTAGATAGCTGTGCATTGGAGGCGGGAGCTGATAAATTGGTGCGCAAATACGGTACTCTCAGTGGACTGTCAGGTGGGGGTATTGGGAAGGGAGCTATGCATTGGAGGCAATAGATTGGATGCACTAGGGCCATTGATGGCGCGACTGGGCCGCCTGACAATGTCTCCAACCGTTTATGTGGCCCGTCTTAGGATCCCCTAGTTCAAACAGCCAATTGTTTCTACGTATACCTTAATGGCTCTTACTTTTCTCCTCCAAAATGCTATAGTATCCTGAAATTTCACTCTGATTACATGATCACTGCCCTCCGTGAAATATGAATCATTCGGTCGTTTACTGTACATCACGCCGCTTGTTTAAGTTTGTAATTAAAATCGGAATTGTGTTCCACTCTCTGTGGTTGTTCGATCTGTTCCTTGCTGTTTTAAAAGCCAGAAACAGGAGAAGTCATCCCAAGTGGCCTTCTGGCTGCCGTCAGTATTTTGGTCAACCAACGGTATACTGTATTGAATGTGTTATAATTGCTGGTACTAAGACAGCTACGCCCACCCTTAGACGGCAAATGCATCGGTCACCGATGCTGTGAATTAGCTTAGCACAGCACTTTTACCGAGGTGTATCCACACAACTATGTTCCATCTGGTGATTGGTGCGAAATCCACTACTCCGACTTTTGAGGTGTTCAACAAAGAAACCGAAATCTTTGCCATTTCACCTAACTGGTTTTCTCAGAAAGATCATGTGACAGGTATAAGCTGAAGGTAAGTCAAGAACGTTACAGCCAACCAATACTCACATCGGGCATTTCGAAAAGTGCAAATCTAAATAATTCAGACTAAAATCAACTAAGTTTTGTTATCCATGGTTGACTGTCTTTGTCAAATGACCCCACTTGTTTTCTAGAGAAAGATGGAACACCGGTTCAGCCAACCGAATTTGGTTACGAGTTAGTGGATATTTCTGGAAGAATTACGGAAACCGGAGCACTAGCAAGGTCTGCTGAGTTCGATTCACAGTCGGGCCAGCTCACACTAACTGACATTCAGTATCCAACGGAACCTCTGAAGATGCGTTTCCATGCTCAGATCCCACAGAAGGCCCCAACGGATGATGAGGAGCCTTCTGGTCCACTCATTTATCGCTCTCCCTACCACGAGATTATCGTAGAAACCAAGCCTGGTGATTCCAGACCTCCGTGGACCGACCGTGAAGTTCCTGTTTTTGACGGTGGGTCACAAACTCGAGAGGACGTTTACCTGGTGTAACATTTGAATTTGTGTTGTTCTTTGAAAAGAACGTAGAATAGTCAAATTTAATTAATGTAATTGCTAGTTTCTTCTTCATAAAAGAATTGCTTGATAAAATTCGGAGGTTTCCACATCAATGCAAACTTCAAATAGGTCCTTGATCAGGGCACGTAATGATTGGTAACGAAAAGTTTGCAACACAGTTACAGACCGAAATGAATAATGCAACCGAACTACCGAAAGTTTATAATGAATTATGAGATGTGTATACAGAAGAGTGGAAGCCGTCATAGTCCCTTTCAGCGCCTGTCCACTATGGATTACACTGGTCCCGAAATCGCCAAACAGTGCATTAATTGGATAATTAATATCATATAAAACGACCATACTTGTCGAAATTCTCACCACATTTATTCCCAATGTACATTTCAGTGTCGGGAACAAAGTACATGGTCAAAGTGGCTGGATTGGACGAAAATGGGAACGCAGCTGCGGGTCCTAACGAAAATCTTCAGCTCATTTGCTCGGTCTATGGTGAGTGTCGCCGCGTCTATGGAGACCTCGTCGGTATTTCGAATAATTTCATCCTCACGTTTCGAAGGGACGGTGTGTTATAGCTCCCTCCCTTCCACACGAAATAGCGTGTATAGTCATGGCATGACTACGTAGGTCTACCCCTTTGTTCAAGCCTCGCTGCCGTGGCTTTCTGTGGGCAACCGAAACGTCGGACCATAACATCCTATCCCATTATACTGTTCTTTGACCGTAAACTTTCCATACTATATACCACATGACTCTCAGTCTGTTCCACAAGATCCAAGCCGTGTTTGGCCCGGAACACCTGAGTCTTGTCGACAATCGTAGATGCAGCTTGAGTTCATAGCGTTGCAACGTATAAACAGCGGAGTTGTTTGTTTGGTGTTTGGCGGATGTCTCGGGGGCACACAGCTAGGCCGGTCTTCAGCTGGCAAATACGTTTATCCGCATTTCTCCAAATTATCGTCAGAAACGGCGTATCCAGTTATGTTTAAAACCCACAAACTACTCAGGTGCGCAGGTAGCGAAAAACTCGTTCTGTGGATCTTACATGTGATATTTTCCACCGGATTGTTGTACACAACTCCACCAACTCAACTGACCAACGTGCCGCTATAAAATTCGGTTAGTCTATGGTAGCTCTGTCTTCAGAAGAACGTTAGCGATCTCAACATGGCTGAATTATGAAGCATACCAGTGTTTGCTATTCGAAATCCACTGAAACCTTGACATTGACGATCTATTGTTCGTTGTGTATTGCTTGCTTGCTTTTTATAGAACAAATGGATGAAGTAGAGTTGAAACCACAAGCCTATAGTTGGCAATTTTTGGACGGGGAAGGCTACCCAGTAAACCTCGGTAATCTGGCCTCACAAGTTGAGGTGGAAGCGGGACGAAACTTGAAGCTGACCGGATATCGCAAAGAGGCTGAAGAACTTGGGATTTCTGGACGTTGTGCCGTCACGATTTCCGTTCCTGTCCCGGTCACCGCGACACCAACACTGGAACTTCCACCCACACAGAGCTACACATCCCCCTACTTCAGATTTGTCAAGAAGAAAGGTGAACCGACACCCCCTGGTGTTGAGGTGACCGAGGAAATGGTCCTCACGCCATCGCCTGAAGAGCCGGAAACGACACCTGCTCCTGAAGAGGTGACTGAAATTCCAGGTTGGTCTTAAGCCTAGTGACGATTGCATAACTTTCTTGGAAAATGGATTTTGAACTTCTGCAATTTATCACAAAACCATTCCAGGGATTGTTTGTTATTGCCGGCCTTCTATGTCACTATGCTGTGTGGAAGGGAACACCATACCACAAGCCTGGTCCATCAGTTTTTGGAAGCCTCGTTTTTAACAGTAGAAGCTTGAGTTTACCGGTCAACTTGGATACACAGAATTCAGTCACATCTCAACAGTCTTCACGATCCATTCTTACGTCTTAAGCTAGTTTGGTCGATTAGGCTTGCGCTCCTTTGTTTTGAATGAGCGAGTAAAAAATAGCTGCAGCTCCGTATCACTGTTCACACTCTTCTCCATCGTAATGTGTCAGTGAGAAGCTACCTGGAATAACGTCGCTAAGGCTTACCACGCTGTGGTTATTCGGGCATAATTCCATAAAAGAGCGTCACTGGCGTTTTATAGTCCCACCAAAAACTGTGCAGTTTTCAATCTATACACTCATCTGCATACCAGTTCGGTTTTGGCTGGGGACTTACCTGAAATCTGGCCGAAACTCTAGTTCACGATATTCTTAATCAGCTGAGTCTCGTCAAAAACAAATTGGCATACAGATGAGTGTATAGGTAGAATTTCATGCAACTAGGATTCAATTGACGGTTAACGGAAACTCAGAGACTGCACCTACTTGATTAGCCCCAAGAAGGGCAAAACCTGTCGAGCTGTCGAAGAGTTTTCAGCGATCCCATGAGCAGTGTATTACGTCTGCACCATTTTTCTTTATCTTTGATGGCTAACACCAGATTTTCTATTGGTCATGAGGCACGAGCTATGAGTACCTTCCCGCTCCGATCTATTACAGCTGAACCCATAGGATTCCTACTAAAAGTGGATTCATCGGCGAATCCAATATATGATATTGGTGGCGACAATCACACCATATTGGCTCGAGTTCAACGCCCATTCGAGGTAAGATTGCTTGATCTCCTTGGGCTTGAAATTCTATAAAAAATTCAACTAATTGTTATTCCAGCCTTATATATATATCACCTTATCTGTTTCGGTCTGTTTAGATGTAACAACGTGCCGAAAAATAGCATTGATGCGATTGACTTTACTTGGTTTTGGATGATTAACAGCAGACAGTAAATTACATAAGTTTAGGCCCTTTTGTAATAGCGCAGACATATTTAGCTGAATCTAAAGACCTATCAGTGAAAACCCAAATACAAAAGTTGTGAACGATTGGTTCGCTTCCACAATTTACGAAGCCATCGTTGTAACGGCAGTCACTGGACCTAACAGAGTAGAAGTTAAAGGTATCAAGGTTTATGGCATGCACCTGCATTCGGCCTCCGGTTTGAGTTCTGTGGGGTCATCAGGCCCAGATCATGCGATATGTCTGCCGTAGTCCTGGCTCTGTGCGATGCATCAAACGCCAGCCTTTGGGAGGGTTGCTATGGTGTAAGCAGGCCTCGTGCACGTGTTAGGCCTCAGCATACTTGCCTTGGTAACTGTCCCTCAGTCTCGGCGCCACTGCAGCACGGCCGCGCAGGTGGCAGCCATTGTGAACCTAGTGGAATAGGGTTCGGACAGGCCCTGAGATCACTGCTCTCGTGTAGGTCGGTCGTGATCGCCCCCAGCGCACATTGATGAGGCACGGAATCACAGCCGTCACCGCAGCCTGACGTGTTTAGTGAGCGGAATGTCCGTGGAGCTGCGATTATGTTTCACTCTCACGGGCAGATGGGCTGGACGGTAGAAGATCCGCTTCCATGTTCTTTGTTCCGGTGAGAAGACGCGAATACGAGCGCCGCGTCATCATCTACAGGCCAAAGCGGTAATGGTATTTTCTTAAAATACAACATCAAGCTTTTCTGGAAGATATTCAAGCTAGAAGAGAACTCCACTCACGGCCGAACTCCAGTCCGCAACACATTCGGTCTGAAGCTAACTAGGATGGACGGATTTGCCTTTGATTTATCTCTTCTGAAGACCACTGCAGACAATTCAGAGATAGAATTCCCGTTTACTTGCCCATGAGATGAGACTATAAGTTGGGTCTGAGTATGCCCGTGGTTTCTGCGGTAAAAAGTACTCGGAAGAATTTCTGTGGAAGGACTCAACAAATGCGTGTTAGTTATCAAAACGAATGAGTGTAGACTAGTAAACGTAGCCATTTCGAACAGTTGAGCACCCCCACCCTGAGCTCGTGAACCAGACTTTCTGTGGCACTAATATAGTCACAAAAATCCGTACCATTTATAGCTGGTAACATGGTCAAGGCGGACCGATACTCGTTCTACAATCAGGCGCATGGGTTAATCTATGTCCATTGTCTGATGATGTTAAGAGACCAGTTGCCTGCTCAATGCAGAATTTCGAAGTAAGAATCCTGATGTTAGCAGTGTCACTGCACTGCTTTCATCAGGTAAATACAGTTTTAGTGTCTTTCCCACAACCTCGACAAAATTACCCAAGACCCCGAGATTTCGTCCTCTACTACTCCAGACTAATGATCCTACATTGATGAGCCTTCCTAACACCTTGGAATCCATCAAGTGATGTACAACATTTGCCCCTCCTCACATGATACGGTCAGCTTAAGGTGTCCGCGTCAAGAACGGCAGTGTGGTGGTGAATGCTGCAGTTGTTCCAGTGTAAGAGCAGGGGACAGTCATGATTAGTAAGTGTGGCTGTGAGTTCCATATAGTTTTGCTATCGAAAGTTCACTGGTATAAATAAACTAAGTATACAATGTAAGCATTTGTACTCGGGTCATCAGTCAACCTCTTGTAAGAGCTGAGAGAGCCCCAGCAGAGACTTTTTTGCTGAGAGTGAGGCCGAGTTTGTCCTCAGATTTATGTTTAATTACAAATATACACATTGGTCTCACCAATGCATTTCTCATTATTTAAGTTAAATTGCAGAGCTGTGTTCACTTCCGGTGGGGATCGGACCAGCACTGGCGAACAGCTTCCCCGATTAGTCTGGTACTATCGCCAGCCAGAAATCCCTGGGGATGTGCCGATACCATCTCAGGTGTTCCCTGTTATGCCACCTCGAATGGAAACACTGGTTATCACCGCCCAAGAGAACCACAAAATAAGCATACATTCGGACGCATATTCGTTCCGTGACGATGTCGCTGAGTTCCACTGCAATGCGTACATGGAATCCGGTGACGTGGTAGCCCAGAAGATTGTGTTCGTTCAGAGTAAGTCTGTTCTTATGGTGATATTCAATTGGCTGTTGAGTTTTGTTACATCTAATGAGATTAAAAGCAAACACAGCCCAGTGTGAGATACAGTTGGTTGTAGGACGTGCACACAATGTGTGGGCAATTTCTATCCCTGTCCATGAGGACGAAAGTAAACGCTTCAAGAGGTACGCTCAAGCCCACTCATTCACCTGCAGTTTTGATAAGGTCACTGTGACTTTGGTGTAACATCTTCCCCCCAAAGATGTCTGTCAACTAATTCGGGACATCCATGTACTTGACTTGCGTGCACTATTAGATGACCTGGCACCAACTCGCAAATAATCGACAAACCTGATGATTCAGTAAGGTGGAAAAATCAATGTGGATCTGGATCACACGGCCCGTCTACCCATTTGATTAGTCAAGATCAAGCATATGTTCCAATCGGCGTCGTGAAACGCGCCATCGCAAATTGGTCGGTCAACACAAAGCACCTAAACTACACTCGGGGCCACGGCACCTTGGACAAGCCTTTGTAACTTTTATTGCTCATGGTTGTATGTTAGCTTTTTCATCACTATGTACAAAAACTAGTTTGCAACAATTTTCATCCATGCATCTCTCTTGTGAAGAGTTCACCTGTGTGCGTGTACACATATATTCCTCTTCGTTAACATCTGCCCACTGTAATATACTAAAACATAATAAAATTCCAGGGGCCCGTCTTTCATAAGTCATTTCAATCAGACGAGTCTTATCCTAACTTTGCATTAGGTATCCAGCTACGTAGAGTCCTCACTCACAAAGCTGCAGAAATTATCTGGGTTTCGTTGATGTTGATCTTGCACTTTTCCCTTACAGAAGTGGCGGAGAAATTCAACGTCCGCATTTTCGACGAAGAATCACGTGGTCGGGTCTATGCATTTGTTGGCGAGTCTAAGACATTAACGTGTTACGTCGACGGTGAGTTGGAGTTCCTAAGTCAACCACACTTTGTTGGACCTTACTTCACTCAGGATATACACCTCTGTGGTCCGTTTGGGTAGTCATAAAATCAAAGTATTCAACTTGTCAAAACTGTTTGTCCCAGTTTGAGCGTCCATTGCATCCTGTAAAGTGAAACTTTCTTCTCAGTTTGGTTAGTTCAGGATAAACTTACCAACAAATCCGAGATACGTTTTTTAAGTGATGGCAGATGCTAGTTTTTTGTCACATGAACCACCACTTCCTTAGCAACCAAGGCACAGATCAGAAGATAACTTCCATGCTTGCATCCAATTTTTATCAACTAAATTCCAGTCAGCTTATAATCCACTTTACTCTACGAACATAGTAATGGGCCAGTACCACATGACAGACCAAGAGAAGATTAGAACCAATTAAGTATTAGAACTAATTAGAGAAGATTGAACTAAAATGAAACCTTGGTCCACCTGTCGGCGTAAATGATGCCAAAGTGATCTCTACTTCGAAGTATTTTGCAAACTAATCAAACTGCCATTACTGAAGAGATTCCGAATGGACATTAATTCCGCGCTTAGCACGTTGTTAAAATGGACGTAGAACTAACGAAATTACGATTTGCATTGTACAGAAATTTCCACCGGCGAACGCGTGGAGCCTGAAAGTTACCAGTGGGAGGTGAGTACTGGGGATGCGAACAATGAGTGGATCAGGGGTGACCATCCTCGCCAACCAGCCTCGGCTATAAGTGGATGGAAGAGTAAACAGCTGGTTCTGGATTCACTTGTCTTACCGAAGACAGCGACACCAACTGAGGCGAGCTTCGAATTTCGATGCATTGTGAACCATAACGCAACATTCGACACTGCTTCCCGACCGTTTGTTATGAACCTTCGCAGTAAGTTTCGGTCTGGTAACCTAATACTACCCATACATTTTTTCAACGTCCCATTGTTTTTATACAGAACATCTGAACTGCTACGATCCAACTTACCCTAAGGGATAAAACGCTGTTTTTCCCTCCGAGCCCCCGAGCTTGACTTCGTGTAAACTAAATATTACTACAGTCGGAACAGTAGCGAGACAAAAGTCTTGATTTGTATGCGAGCCAAGCGCCTGATGGAACGCGAGTACGAGGACCAACCTTCCAACCTGCTTCACTCGCCACTGTGTCTCCCCTCTATTACTGAAGGTCTAATCGTCCGCGTAACGGAATAGCTTTTCTTTCGCTAGGGAACGATGGGAGTTAAATTTTGAAAAAAAGACGATCAGTAAACAAAGGTTATAAGACCCAAGTTTAAACCAATAGAGGTGGTTTGGTAGAGGGATGAGTGTTTAAACACATGCTATCAGATATATGGTTTCACCTAACCCATATGATGTAGATTTTTCCATATTTTTAGTAAGTCCTACAGAGCAGCAGACATGGTTCCTACTAACAAGGCAAACCTGGATAAACCGTCTGATGTTTTACTTGGACGAATATTGTTATCATTGCTACGAACACACAATCGTTTGTTTATTTATGTCAAATGCGTCTTGTGTTATAATTTTAAACTGACTTATGACGCTTCGTTTACAGCAAAGTACTCGGAAGATAACTCTGCCTTTTTGGCACATGTTTTTAAGTGAGACTGTGATTTTTAATTGAAAATCCTTGATAGATTTGGTCTTGTTTCTGACACAATGAAATGGTTTTACCGGTTATAGAGTAGCATGACACAACCACAAATGTTCACACACAAACCGGGCTGAATTGACAACCCACCACAAAGACCAACACCCAAACATGAACCACGGTGTCAACCCTAACGTTGACCTTTATATGAAGGAAGGTAGCCATAAATCCGCATTGATTTCCACTGTGCTAGATCTCCCATTTTCGAAGTATGGTAAGCTTCACAAATGTCTGACCGAATGTAGTGCGAAGCTCCTTTTTTCAAGAGATAATAGATTCCAATTAAAAATCCACAGTCTCTTATTGAGCTGCGTGCTTTTCAAAAATTTTGTATGGGAACGACTGGTATAGGTCTTGTGCTTACTCTAAGATAAGGCTCAAACGCAAATGGCATAAATTCTACGGGCTCCCCTAAGGACCGATGGGACGATAAAGAAAATAAATCAAGCAACTTCAAGTGTTAGATACAACGGATTTAGAACTAGGGCGAATTGTGACTGATCAAAATATGGAAGAGCTCGCAAAGTCCTTCGGCAGCAGAAATATCCGGGATAATTAAGTGATCTGTGATGAATGTTTAAATCAGAGCGCCATTTTCAAAACAAAAATCGCACTTTTGCCGATACAACCTAGACGGCATACAACCACCTGGAAAAATGAATATTCACACAAGAGCAGCAGCATTCAATGCTTGCACACCGACGAAAGAAGCAAGGATGACGTCAACACGAACAGAAATGGAACGTTTGCAAGAGATTTCCCAAGGTCAGTGAACGGTTTTGACACCAATACACAAATAAAATAAATTCAATAATCATCGGATAAGTGGAGGTACAATTGAAGGATTATTCCTTGGCGTGCAATGCTCATTCTTCCTGCAGGAAATTCTGGTCGCATTGTTTGCGATCTGTTACTGAGACCACCTACTTAAAAAAATTTCTGTGCTTCTGTTTACCTTGGAAAGTTCATACATTAGAAATTTGTTTCTTGAAAATGTTGCGTGCGGAATATATGCAAACTTTTCGTTTCATCCAAATTTAATCAACAAGCGTGATTTTACATACTGAGGGGTTGTGAAAAAATACATTTAATTTCAGCCTCCACTGAGTGCGAAAATGACCACATCATGATCGGTACAGTGATAACCGAAATGCAGTTTTTTGGCGCTTCGGGCTCGGTATCAGGTAGCAGTGCGGCTGGGTAGGGTGGAGGGCATCAGTGCACCGTTAAAGTTATGACAGTCCAAAGACAGTGATGCATGGGCTCGCGCATTGAGAACGATTATCAGGGCACAAGTCCGGATGGAACTACCATAGTCGGATCCTCGTAATTATGATACCAGGTGTGATCCTTCACCCAACGTTGCGTGTATACTGGAGTCAGTAAGCAGACCTTCTGTGTCCGCCTCGGGAATTTTATATATGGAAAAATTCGGGCGCGCCGGACACCCAAATTCAGATCGAGAACTTCCTTGATCTGGGCGACATGTGGTTAGATATGGGTCTCAACGTTAAACCCTGAGCTTTTTTGTAGTGATACGCGGAGTAATTGGCTCAGAACGCTTTTTCAAGGAAGCGAGGGGAAAATGAGAAATGTGCTTATGAAATTTTCAACAATGTACTTGGAGAAAGAAGTTCTATTTTGTAGTTAATGAGCTTTATCCTGTGTGTTGAGGCACCTACAGTACTATCTCTTCATAAGAAGCATGCGTAAGTGAACGTAAACATCAAATTAATAGGAACCCAAGGATTATCCCTTACTGATGAACCTTGAGATGAGGACTGTCCAAGATTCTTCAGAATGCTCGTGAGTAGTGCTCCGCAAAGAAACTACACTAGGGCATCTCGATTCTCTTAGCAAATGAAAAATGAGGCCGCCTTTAGGCAATACATCCAGTTGAAAATATCGTCAATGGAAGATCTACCTACGACTGAGTTGAGCCTTTTGTTAACAACAACTTAGTTTACAAAAGGGTGCATTTCGGAAAGAGCTTATTAGGTTTTCATCAGCGTTCTTATAGGAAATTTCTTTGTTTGCATTCAATAAGCTTTGTTCTGAATTTGAAAACACATACTGTACTTCCGCTCCATAAAAATCACGTCCAAAGAACATGCAGGATATAGAAATCGTTGTGGCCAGTCTTGTTTTCCCATGTTGTGAGTATTTTATCATCTTTCAGTGGAATGAGTTCTCTCCGGGAGGATAGCGAAGAATATTTTCTTTGCGGCCTGATTTCTTCGCAACGGTCAAATTTCCTGGTGAGCGAGTAGGAGACGCATTGTCTGTGTGCAGTACTGCCCAGACAGAAGCAAAATAAAAGCTGGTGGATTTTTCTGCGAATTGGACCTAATCATGTTTTCTAAGAAGGGCAAAACTCTTCAGTCCAAATCAATTCAAGTCACTACAAGTGGTGGTCAGTTTGTGGTTTAACGCAGTTCAAATTTTGTTTTACGCGTCGGCAGAAGAGGTGTCTGCTCTGAGCAACCACCAGCGGATTGGACTGTTGGCACCTTGCCAATTTACAGGGTGTACTTCGCCCACTGCGCACAACTTGGTGTTCAAGTGAAACATAAGGTTAATGGAAACCTGGGGAATGCGCCTTCCCGACGAGCTCCTAGAAGGATTTTCTATATAATTCAGCAACATTATACGTAGCATTCCATGTCAAGGGCTATCCGTTGTTGTGTTGATAATGTATGATATTACTTCAAAACTCACTGGTGCCTCGTTTTAATCCCATCAAGTTTAGGTCGACTGCTGGCTACCAACAGGCCTCTACGGGTTGGCTGTAGATTGTCAGACCTACATCGGCTCCACAGTCTGACCCGCGATGGCATATTCGGATTTGCAAGCAGACCGTTATCATAGGCTAGCCATACGATAAGGCAGCGTTGAGCACAAACGTAATCCGCTACAACGAAGGTCTTTGTGCAGAGGTATTTGTGGATCAGTGCTACGCACTTATGGTCACTGGGTATTTATTGGTTGCACACTGTTCAACCATGGGGATTCAACAACTGTTTATTCTCGTAAGGAAGCTTTTCCTGGTCTAGTCCATCGAATACTGTCCAAGGTTATTAAAAAAACGCAAGTTTGTGGGACATGCACCGACAGCGGAGGGACGACCGTACACCAAGGACTATTTTTTTCCGTACACACTATCATTACACATGATTTCGTTGTTTCGCTATGGAACTAAGGATTTCTGAAAGACAACTAGTTCCAGTAGATCAGAGTGGATCAGTTCATCTATCATTATTCATGCAATTTGTCATTTCCCGTTGCAGATAAACCGGTCATAGAATCCATTCAGATAGATCGTGAGAAGCCCACAGAGGCTGTGCTAGCTGCCGTTGGAGTGCCAATGGACGAGTACGACGCTGCTGAGGACTATCAGCTCAGCTGCAAACCAAAGGTCATTGGTGCAGAAGCTTCAGCGACATGGCAAAAGGTACGTCTAACAATTGCTGCATGTATATAAGTATGTAGATTTGCAGCTAAATCGTACCCCGTACATGGAGAGTACATATCAGAACAGGTACATCTGCCGTTGACTTGAAGTTAAAACTGAAAGTCCTTAGCTGTCACAGTGTCTTTTCACACAAGAATGAGCAGCACATGAAAGCAAACGACCCCAACAGAAAAAAACTCATGCTTGGAGTGCATTCGCATGAAATTCTTGCGCAAGCACTCCACTTTGTGATTTGACTTTCTTATGCTTTCTCCCTGATTAATTGAAGGGCGGACACAGGCATATAGTTAAGCATTCCTAGTCGGTCTCTTCCTGTCAGTAATCAATGAAGGAGACGTCTTTAAGCAGTGCACATCCTTTGGTGTGATCAGTCTATCGGGTGTTTACCTGATTCATTCAGTCGTGCACACGGATGAAAAGAAACTTCACCAAAAGTTGGACGATCACGAATTCACACTGTAGGAAATCTGCACCCATTCAAACAGATACATTCGTTTGGCGAAAATTAACACACCATGGAAAACACGATGCATATTCGATGGATGTGGTATTTAGAGAACTGCGCTACTGAAACGAACAACACAACTTCTGATCAAACTGAACGAAAACCACCCCTCCATAAGTGCTGGTGAATCTCTGCTCTCACTTAGCTACCACACTGACATTATGTGGTGTGCAATGTGAGAATTTTCAATTCAACGCTGCCTAGTGGAAAGCTTAATAATCCGATGTTTCGAATTCTGTGGATTTAATAAGGATTTTGAATAGTCGTAGGAATCTGTAGGAAAGGGTTGCTTACGACATCCAAAACATTGGACTAAACTTTGTAATTTGTAGTGCGACTAATTGCCTGAGAGCTTGTTTGCCACGATAGGTCTTTTGTCAGAATAATGCAACACTTTCAAATAATATACCCTGAGTAGGAGAGAGCTGAGCGGACCATTTGGAGATGATGATGAAAGCAGGCGTATTACAGAAAACAGTGTAAATTCAACCTAGATGGCCCCTTGACTGTTTTATCTGGTACCTTCTACTTTTCAGTGTGCAGATAGCCAATGCGACGAAGCTGAGGATCTACACCCTATTGGCGACAAATTATTCTTTTTTGCAAATTCGACACGTTACATTGACGAAGGATTCTTCCGCTGCCTGGTTGGCCTACAACTGAAGGAATACAATTTCAGACTTACGGAATCCAGGATCGTTCAGATCAAACGGAAATGTGAGTCACTATAACCGACTTGTTATTGTTGTCTCATGTGAAGCCTTTCAAGCGAACTTACTTGCACGCGAAGACCTGATAGGACACAGTCATCCTGAAAGGACATTCTGGTACGTAAGTGACCGAGATAAAATTTCGGTTTGTTGCACTGACAGCTTTATACACATGCGCTGCGATATTCGTAACGCAAAGGTAGTTGTGGCTTCTTGACGGGGATGCATCAACTTCATAAACTGATCGGATCAGCTGATTTGTCTTCGTTTCATCAAGCAGTTCACAATTGCTCGTGTCTTGGAGATACCTGTTAATCATGGCCAATTCCATGGTGAAAGCCGGTTATGTGAACGAATCGACACAACCAGGAAAACTGCTGGGTTGTAGTTTGAGCTGACGGGCCCACATTCATATTGTGCAAAAGTAAACACACTCTCCTGATCAGGTGTGAAAAATTCAGATGCGTCCAGCGTGCGCTGTTAAAACAGTTGTAACTTGCCTGCTTAGTATGTTAGATCTCGGGAGTTCGAATTCCGGCACGACCAAGGTTATGCAATGTTGATGCGTTCTACTAAGAACGAACCTCGAGTCCAGTGCTTTTCCCTTTAGACTTATCAGAATAAGTACGCCAGGACAAGAGGGTAATCGTTCGAACAAAACTGATGTGAATGCGAATTTCACGAATAATGCAAACATTTACACAACTACTAGTGAATCATAGAAGTTGTTCGAAACATTTCGCAACTGTTATGAAAGACCTGATCACCACTGGGCCGTTGATTTGGAGTTTTTGCAAGTATTGATTACAATGCTAAAGAGGTGCACATTGGGAAAAGAATCCACTCTGCTTGTTTCGCCCTGATTACAACTCATCAGGCGTATACAACAGAATTCGTTCACTTGTGGTTCACGCTCAAAGTCCACACCCAAGTGCCTAGTAGAATTGGGGATGATTTTCAAAACAGGTTTACATTACCTGAAAATACAAGAACCACTTACATGCGGGATTGTGCAGCTATGGTTGAAGCTTCACACATTAAGGAAAGAAAAGAATATTCGATAGCTGTATATCACAAACAAGCTCACTGTTTGAGCTTTTTGTCTTGAGCCAAGAGGAGTTTGTAGCTTGAAAGGCGTCTTCGACAGAGATTAGAAACCGAGAAACTGAAATTGCGGTCTAGTAGGTTGAGACTGTATTCGGAATGTCGTAATTGAGAGGGTTTCTAAGATAGCTCTTAGGTTAGCTGATTTCGTAGAAAAATTGAAGAGCTGTGTATTTGTTGTTTCACAACGACACAACAGCAGAAACAGTGCTGGTACTGCAAGTTACTGTGATTATTGGATTTACCAGACAAAAGTAAAAAGCTTTCCTCTACCCTCAAAATGAACGAGACAGCTGGCTGACTAAGGACTATTGAAATGATTTGAAAACCACCTGATTCACAGTGAAAATATGGTTCTGGTAACTGCAGTTGTAACCCTGGTTTCGTACCATTATCGACTAATCATTAAACGGGTGCAACAATACCGTCTAGCCCAGTGAACTCTTCTGAAAGCGGTGAACAATCTACACCGGAATTCTTGGTCTGAGTATCCTTCAGTTACCAACTCTTATTTCCGTACTGCAATTTCAGCCCCTCCGGCCATATATAATGGTGATGCCATTACCTATACAACCAACGATGAGATGTCTCTGCAGTGCACAGACGAGTCATCCTCACCTGAATCCACGGTCAAATGGACATTTGAACCCTCAGGAAAAGTGCCAGAGGAACGCAAAGATCCCATTTTACTCGGAAAGACCTATGAATATGGAAGAATATACATATTCGCGTGAGTGTGTACAGTTTCTCCTACAACGATTACTGCTTTATTTCCGAAAGTCGTCAGCATGCTCACACTTGTCTCACCAAACCGTAAACTTCGTGATTGCGACATTCTGTCATATTATACAAGGGTCGTTCAGCTGTAACGTCCTTTTGGTTCTTAACTGTAATGTCATCCAATGAGAGCGCGGGGACGGAGATAATGCCAGGTTGCCCGAGTCTAGACAGGAGTAGTCGAGATAGCTGAGTTGGGTTCGGTTATGCGGTCAGTAAGTTCGCGCCCTAGCCATCGAGCTGTTTTGAGCTCACCGTAAACTGTGGGTTATATTCAGTGTTTGTTTGGATTAAGTACACACTTACTGTAATACACACAGCGCAGTTTCGCTAATTCGATGGCCTACAAGTTTTCGAATGCATGCCTGTCTTTGCAAATAAACAGGTTATCCAATGATTTTTAATCATTGTAGGTAAAAACCTCATATCAGAATTTCGGCCACTAACACAAGCAAAATCAATAACCCAACAGAACGGCTTCCACGATTGAAGCAGTTCTCATACGCCACGCTGCTGCTTCTCCTTAAGCGGAGGTAATTTCAAGTTCGACAAATACACTCATTTGCATATCGAATTGATTTTGACGAAAGACTCGCCTGAGACCCAGCTGAATTTCTCGTCCGTCATGTTCTTAAGCAACTGAATGTGCTGCCACAGGCAGCTTCATCTTTCAGTTGGTACGATACTCGAAATATCGCGATAGATTATACGGACGTAATACACTGATTATAAGGTTGCTGAAAACTCTTCTACTGCTTACGATCAACTTCGCCCTTCTTGAGGCTCATCAGTCACGAGTTTCCGTCAACCTTAAAGCTAACTTTCATACTGAACGAGCATACGTGAAAGAGGCGTTCAAAACTAATTTCAGTCACTACCTCATCATTTGAGTGTGAGAGAAACAATCGGAATGCTGAAAAATCCTGTCAGTTTCATTTGACATTTGGGTTAATGGACAAAAGAAACTCTTGCGGATGTTCCAATGCTTCTCATATTTGAGTTTCGTTGTTACCGGACAATCAACAAGAAATTTTCGGTTTTATAGCTAGCTACTTTACCGCAGCATCCACCCTCTATCAAACTAATTACATTAGATTGCCCATTGTCAGGCTTAATCCCTAGAGACTAGTGAGGTTGATTTCACGTTAGAGGCAATGTTGTTTTCTTCATCGGGCTTTATTTCCTACGTCTCCCATTTCACAACAGAATCGCAAGAGGTCAGTTGATGACAGAACATTCGGGTAAATACACGTGCACAGCCACAAATCCATTTGGCTCGTCAAGTGGGACGATTGATGTGACAGTCACGGAAGATCTTCATCGAAATGTTCGTCGAGTAAGAATGTTAGATACTATGGTTTCGATGAGTAATCACTATTTGTTGATCTTATTTGTAAACTCCAGTTTTCTCGGAAATATGGTATTCAAAAAAGTAAGCGCCGTAGGTGTAAGAAAAATCCACATAAATGACCGAATTTTGTTTACTTCCTAAAGTAGTAACTTGTAATTTATAGCATATGTAGTGGAGGTTTGAATATGAAGCCCTCAGTCTGATTCGGCTTCCAATGAGGCTGTATAAGCACGAGCATATGAATAAAGCCCGACTTTTATCTAACTTTCGTTTTCTCTTTTTTCCAGTCCAACCATTACAGAATTCGTCGGTTAGTCGGCATATGACCGGAGGCAGATCAATTCTGAATGAACTTATTTATTCAAAACTTTAACAAATTTTCTTTTAGCGCCTATTGCTTTGTACACCCTTTTCTTTTCGCATTAATTAGCATTATAGAAGTATTATCTATGAACCAAATAAATAACGTTATATGTTTACCACGTCCTCTATTATTTTCTTGAATATACGAAACAGAGAGTAGGCCAGTGGCCTGATTTTAAGTACGGGATTTATTGTCACTTCACAGGTTTCGGCGAGTGCAACCGCTCATCATCAAGTCGTCCTATTTCAGAGGGTGGTTTTAACTTTTTAACAACGTTACAAAAACATGGCACCATCTACCATCAAACGAAGATGAACACTAATCCCAAACCAATGCCTGATGCTGACGTTTGCTTTGCCCACTTGTGACAGTAGTCAGGAGATTGTTTCTACCTGATCAGAATCATCGTTGGCCACGTGTGTGAGTTTACTGAAAATCATGTCGGGCATGATCGTGTTCGTGGACCGTCAGGCGACATGCACACGCTCGACGCAAGGGTGACTGCTCGGCTGAGCGCTGCTTGCAGGCCTTTGTCAAATCTGTGTGGGCTGATTACTGTCATTTGTGTGTGATCGGGATGGGTGGCAGCATGTGTGACTCCATTCTGTGGGTTGAAGTGAACTCAAGAGCGGAATAGGGATAAATTATTGTGACTGCCTTGGACACATTAAGATCTGGAAATTAATGGGGTATCTGAGTTTCTCCAGGTTTAAATGATGCCAAATCACAAGATCGTGACTTGGCATCGTTTGTAGGATTCCTAGACAGAAAACAAATAGCGTGGTCGAAATAACTCCAGATCAGAGTAAACGTGCGTCTCCAAGTGAAATTAAGGTGACGCAAAGGATTTGCAACCCAATTACGCACAACACGTTCGGCGTGCGCGATTTGCGGTCCCAACTCGCCTAAACGGTCGGCTTTCTTTACTCCCAATTGATGCACGTGCACTTCTCACACAGGTCAAAATAAGTGCTGTACCGGTAAGCCTGACTATCAGTAGAATGCGCTGGCTGTCCAGCTGGTGGAACGAAAATTGAAGGTGCAAACCCGGTAGATAGCCGAGGGCAGTGCCGCTCTACATAACTAGGCCCCGTTTCGAGTTGCAACAGGTGACGCGGATGGTGAGTCAGATAGTGGGTCACCTGTCTAGTTGGGTAAGGGGCTAGGATGTAGCGACATCTGAACTGCGATGGGATAACCCATACGTAGTACCCTGCTCAGCAAATCAATAGGTCAAACTTCGATCACTCTGAATCCGCTCATTCTGTCTGTGCTGCCTGTTCCACCCCATCAAGGGTATAAGCAAGATACAAGTGACTTTCAACTAATCCAGCTCTCGAACACTGATTTGGGTAGTTCGACAACACACTGGAGACAAAATGCCGATTGAAGATAAATGAGAGATGAGAGCAGATGTGGCATCGAACAAACTGTTGGTCTCGGATTTCGTCCAATCTGTACGCCTCACACAGTCAACGGATTGAAGACGTGCATATATCGCTTCATGACTCCAAAATAGTGGTGCTTAGTTTAACGTACTTCTGTTACGACCCACATTTTACACATTTTTATGTGCAGACAATGAGTGGGTGTTTATTCGGTCTTTCTAAAACTTTCACATGGCTCTACAACTTCCATGAACTAACTAAACTGATCTGCTATGCGTTAATTGGTTCACAGGCTTTACAACATGCGTCGTAACAGCTGGATATATGCTTCCGCCTAGTTTCACACGGTTCGCGCTTACAAAGCCCATTTGTGTTGTTTTCATTTCATCACCCCCAACGTTAGGGAGTTGTGAACCCAACATTACGGAAGTCACGTGATCCGGTAGACGGGGCCGAGACAGTGGTCGGTCGCATAATTTCTCGTCTTTTCATCACCTGTGAGAATATGGGATTGTTTGCGATACTTTTAGAGATCCGAATATTTGCTTTGTATTTTCTGATATTTATTTTTAGTAACCTACAGGCGAGTGACTTACAGACGAGTTGGAACTACATAATGCGCACGCGGAACGCGTCGGGTTGCGCGCACATGGGCAGCAAACCACTTGCGTCAACTTAATTTTACGTGGAGGCGCACGTTTATTCTGATCTGGAGTTGCTTTGGGAATCATATGGCTGAGCTATTTGTTTTGTGTTTGGGAATCTTAGAACTAAAGTCTAGTAGCCATCTAATGAATTATAGTCGCCCGATTTTGAGCAACCTCTAGATAGGCTTGTAAAACTGGTCGATATGTTCGGTGGTGTCCATTGTTCAGCGTACTGATATTTTCAGCTGAATCAACTTAACAAATGACCAGGAACAGACGCTTGTATGAGCTCCATGCATTGAGGCTGTGTTGTACAGTTTGTAACTTAGGGACAGTTGATTCTTGTCCGCTCATCGCTGCGTACCAATGCTTTGCAGAGGGAACGGCGAGGCAATCGGCAATCATGAACGATCTTGTTTGTCACAACTGAAACAGAACGAATGCTCGAAATAAGCGACATGTGATCAGGAGCTTGTGCAATCACACTATTACGAGGTATTCTTTTGCCACAACGCAAAATGTGAAGGCCAAAGGGAACCCGAAGATATTTATTTTTCGAGTGGCTGTAGCACTGCTTACAACATCCTTGTCGGGTTCCGTGTCACAATGTGGCGATTGCCATCTTAGTGTGTTTTAGTCCTTGCGGAATAGAAGTATGCAATTTTCGTGTACAAGATGCGTCAACCGCTCACTTACTTCCCTATATAAATTCAAATATTTTTGAATTTCGACAACTTATGTGGGTGTTTTAATATGTAAGGAGATATCCTTACATTCATTGCTAGTCAAGAGACACATCGCGCAGCTTCACCTTTTTTTTCTGGTAATCAGGCTTCTAGCACCGTCCGGAGGACACTTCTCGAAACTGCAAAAAAGATTATTTTGGTTCAGTAGTCTACGCTCCAATCCTGCCGGTTGTAAGCCGAAAGATAACTGGGATTATCAGATAGCCCGAGTGGACGACTGGTCATTCGTCCAGACTCAGTTTTTCCTTACCACAACACTCAGTTCGGGCTCACTGGCAAATTACAAAGAAATTTTAGGTCTCGATTCTCATTTTTTGTGACTACCTGTGGATTTTAACTAATTCTTCGTTATTACTGGGCCGTCGTATTTTTATGACCTCAAGGACTCGTTCTTAATGGTTGGAACCTAACACCTCCAGAAACGATCGTTTCATACGAATTCATTAACATCCTATCTATTCGAAATATCTGTGACCATTGCTAAACATGTACACTCATGTGCTGCATATTGCTGCCAAGTGAACAGGATTATCACGCCGGTCACATGGATTGAAGTGCTCGTTGGAGTGTGAGCAAGGTACGGGTTGTGGCTAGGATGTGACAGTTACAGGATTTCACCAGGGTACAACGAGGACCGTTCAAGTAAGAGTGATGTGAGTTCAGTAATAAAACTGGTTTTCTTAGTTGGGGATTTGAATATATTTTATCATTGTCAACGCGGCTGCAAGCTTTTGCAAGTATAGACAACTAGAAATACACTCATTTGCAAATCAATTTGGTTTTCACGAGAGACTCAACTGAATCTCCCGTTTATGATATTATACACACACAGGCCACCTCATGACTCAGTTAGCACGATATTCGAGATATCGCAGTGTATTTTCATAAGGGAAACTACTCACAAGTTTGTTGAAAACTCTTCGAACAGTTTTCAGCGACCTTGTGAGTAGTTTCCTTTATGAAAATATAGACAACCAGGTTTGTCACTGTGATCATAGTCAGCGATCTTCTAGCCTGATTGACCTAGGTTTCTCGGGACTGGTACGGACGAATGTGCACCAAATCTCGAAGTGGACATGACGACGCCGTTATTTGGACAGGGCTGAGAGGGAGCATCCAAAAATTAACTAGACTGAGGTGAAAAGATCAATAATTCAGTTTTTCCCAGTCATCAGCATGCGTTGCGCCATTCAATTTGTAAATATGGATGATCAGATCACTGGGATCGCACTGACGACAACGCAATGGACTCCGAGCCGGTAGAAATAACGTCATATCGACTAAAAAAGACGAAGCATACTGGACCAGAGTTACAGTATGATTGTGTTTGGTGGGATTTTATCTCAGTTCCAATTAAATCGTGTAGACGCTTGATGTTCCTCACAATACCGTTGGAAGAATCAAACAAAATGAGGAAAGTTTGATTTCGATCATGACCAGCCAGGGTAAGACAATCACCTTTCAAACATTCAGTTAACACAAACGTAGGCTAAAGTACACACATGGTAATGTGCACTAATACACCGTGTGCCTACTAGGGTATTTTACATTTTAAAAGGACCCCCCGAAAAAAAAAACAGAATCAGTTCTCAACAAACCCATATGAATTACTCCCAAAAGGAAGCTCATAAAGAGCTCATAAAGAGCTCATAAGTCTCCAACAAAGAGCTGTCTGGAAGTTCACATAAACCTTTTAAGTAGTGTCGCGCCAAGGAAACTAGCTGAACTTGCTCATCAAGGTGTTGCAAGCGGTGCTGAATGTTTGTATTGGCATTTAACATTGACTCTACCAGACTTTTTGTTAAGGCGGACTCACAGAACCTCTTTCAGATGATTGTTCGAAACGCAAAAAGAAAGGCTGTCATCGCGATCCAAATAAATTTGACACAAATGATGTAGCTCCTGTGTTGGGTGGCAGTCAGTTTAGCCAAATCTAAGATCAATAGAAAATGCCAACTACTTTTTCACGGTCGCTGGTAATTGAATAAATCATGTTTCCGTAATTCACGAAGGCTGGTTTCGTCATCCCACTGAGAGGGCCGAAGCAAACCTGGAATTTGACGAAAAACACGACACATGATTTTGCATTTTTATCACCTGCATGCTGAGTAAAAATAACTAGACGGGGAACCAGTAAAGTGTTGACCAATTTGACCAAAAAGGCAGTTATGCTTGTGATAATTAGGTTTCGTTTTGCGCAAAACCAACACTGCAGCCAGAAACCAAAGCTAAATTGGGCCTTTTAAAGTTACATAATGGTCTGGGGTTTGCGATCGGCTTCAAACAGCCGAAACTCACAGTCGATTAATAAGCTTACTTTCATTCAGGTTTTGAAGAAG